GATAAGGTTCAATAAAATGTTAAGGTTTCGAATATATTAAATTTCTTTTCCTATACTTACCACACTGATGCAAATATGTTGTATGTACATACATACTTATGTTGTAGTTTCCTAACCATAATAATTTAATAATTTTATACAATAATTTTACTTTTTTAAGAAAGAAACCGCTATACTTAATATATACTTAATATTCTTCTTTTTTTTTTGGTTTTCATTTAATATAATATTTTAATGTAGTAAATATGTAAAAGAAGAAGAAGTTTAGAAGCATAATTATCTTTTGAAATGATTTTAGACACGACATAAGAAAAATTTAGGCCATGACATTCATTTTACGCTCTCAATTTCAACAATTTTTTTCATTTATTGTTGCTTTCTATTATTTGTACATTAAAATTTGATATTAATAACTGCTCTTTGTTTAGTATTCAAAAAAAAAATTTGGATAATTATGAGCTCCACATCAATGAGATTCATAATGGAATAAAAAATATTTTAACTATGGGTACACACATACAATTTGTGCATGAGACTATAAGTATAACATGTAGTGTGCACTAATTGAAATTTCGATATTGTTTTTTGACAAAAACAAAATAAGAATATTTTTTTTTTATATAAGTACTTCTTTGTAAAAAAAAAAATTCTCAATTCTTTTTTTAAAATTTAAATTGTATATAATTTTCAAGTTTGTGTTACTTAAATTCGTAAGTACGGCATGAATTATTTCCACTAAAATTTATACGATGAAAAGAACAATCGGAGAGGAATTAATATTGGTTGATTTGAATGCTGTCATTTAAATCATCAGTTTTTTAAGTTTTACGAGTAATTAAAGAATTTAAAAGTAATAAATATTGTTGCTCAAAAAATTCAAATTAGAATAGAAATAAATGGTTTTCTTCTTAAATAATATTTAATAAAAACATTTTATAAACAAATGCTCAAATAAATTAATTTTTCATTCTAAATGAAAATTATTTTTACTTCCTTCTTCTGTTTATATTTGATTTTAAATATTTGAATAACTACTTATTTCTTTTCTAAGATTAACAAATGAAATATTTCTTATAAAATGCAAAATTTTTCATTAACTTCATTAAAATTATGGTTTTCAACAAAATCTAAATAAAATTTACCCTGAAAAAAAATATTGCAACAAAATATTTTTTTGCGTTCAAATATAAAAATTAAGATACTTAAATTTCACTTCTATATAAAAATATAAACAAAAACAAGTAATAAAAAAAAAGAGTTCTTTTGAATAAATTTTTATCTAATCGTAACAATAATTTTATTTACATTATATTATATTACTTATTACAGTAAAACCTAAATAAATGCTTCCAGTTAAAAAAAAATATAAAGCATCTTTTTTTACGCTTGCACCCATGTACTTATATCGTCCAAATATATAAATTTCTGAACAACAAAATATATTCATATTTAAGTAAATTAATGTTATCAAATCAACCAAGTAAATTCAAATAAATGTGAAATAAAGTAATTAAATTGACATCAATTGAACAAAAAATCAAAAATATTTTATAAAATTTGAAATATCTATGCTTATTAAAAAAATTCTCATAATATTATTGACGAATAATAAAAGATTTTCATAATGCAAAACAATAGCTATGAAGCGCAATATATTTTTATATTATATGCAATATATTTTTAATTACTCTAAAAAAATTAAAGCAGTTCTATATACATATATCGCTATATTGCGAAAAATTTACCATCTTTATGAACAAATTTGGTAAGCAACATTTGTTTATGAAAATAAGTATAGCGCAGTATCGCTTTATATCGCGATTTATGAAAGGACCTATAATTATATATTTGATACAAGTTGATAGTAATGGCACGTATGTACATATATATATATATATATATATATATATATATACTATTTTATTAGCAAGGTTCATTAATAATTTCAAAAGGGGTTATTCATAAAACTTTAATTTGAATATTTTGCAATAATTAAATATGTGAAAAATTTCATTAAATTGAAGAATATTTTATGATTTTATTGGCAATTAAGTAAAAAGTAGCATTCAAATTTTCATTTTAGAGCTAATAAAATTAAACAAACATAGATAAAATATAAATAACTTATTTACATACTATGATTTTCTATATAAAAATAAACGTAAATATTGATAAGATTTGAAAAACGCAAGAAAGGTAGATACTAATTAACTATGAGCGACTAATAAAAATACTTATGCAAAAAAAAATTGACATTTTTTTACTCTAGAGGGTTTTTTTCAAATTGATTTTACTCTTTAAATTCGATATGTAACAAATTATCAGAAAAAAAAAACTATTTGTGAATCATAGCTGTTGTAAGAAATTAAAAAAGAAATAAAATGAATGAATATTAAGCAGATGAGGTCATAAGTAAATATTAAACATAAATATGCATATATATATATGCATATATATACCTAGTTACATAGAGCTAACTCGAATAATACTAAGAATATAGATGATGCATAATGCACATTTTTTCGTCCAAACTGCTTTTTAAACTCACGTTATAAGAAATTAATTATTTAAATCGAATTTTAATCATTCATAGTAAAAGGTTATGCATAAATTCATGAGGATAAATTGAATACTGGATTGGTAGTCTATATATAGTTTTTGGTATTAAGTATCATGTACTTATTTTGTTTATGATGATTGACTACAAGTTCTGGCTGAACTAAAGCATTTACATCCCAATTATGTAAAATTTGTAAACAAACAATGCCAATACAAATGTAAATAAGAAATGCATATATACATAACCATGTATTTAAAAATAAATATATATACATATATAGGTATATATGTAGGTACAGTATATAATTATAATTGTTGATTGCGCGTACTCTTGTTGAAAAAATTATTGAAAAATCAATTTCAGTTTCTTATCAGACTTCCTTTATAATTAAATTTTTATATGTCAATTAATCAATTTATAAATTTTTAGCTATTCTATTATTTTTAAACACTTAAATTGTTATTCTTATAGGTATTTATACATACATATATTATGTTCTTAGGTATTTAGATTTTATTCAAAACATAAGTCATCAAAATATATATATATATGTAACCATACATATTAAGTACATATTATGTATATAACAATATTAGTTTTCTGTTTATAAAATTCAAAGTTGAATCATCGATTTTTTTTCCTTTCTTAACAGAAATAATCGTTTATTTAAATGCTTTTCCATATTGGTAATTGACTTCTTATTTTAATAGATTTTCAATAGAAATTCAATGTATACATACTCACTTATATACTCATGTATACGCACTCACTTACTTTATGTTAATTAATTAAGAATGAGTAATTATTAAAAATATTTATGCAAAAATTTGAAAAAAATTATTAACTTTTCGGTTTTACATAAAGGAATTTAAAAATAAAATATTTAATACATAAAATAAGTTCTATCTATTCTACATTACACTACAATTTATTAAGTTATTTACCTATTTTTTATCTAAATAGGTAAAAATCCACTTTGAATTTACAGGAATAGGTTTTAATTTCCCTCATGTTTAAATTTAAAAGTGAAAAATAATAGGTAATTTATACATCACCCTCCCATACCTATCATAGTATAAAATATAGAAAATACAAGTGTATATATGTACCTATAATTTAAATTACAATAAACTGCATGAATTAAAATTGTAATGCAAAAAAAAAAATAAAATAAATTATTTTTATTTTGCTTACGTAGGTACATATAGGTAAATAAATACCTATCTGCATAATGAAGTTAATTTAAGATAACCTTGTTTATAAGAAAAGCTCAGAAATAAAGAAAAAAATTGCATATGTTTGTATAAATATGGTATATGTATGTACATATATACATTTATATATTAACTAACGCATTTAAAATAATTATATAACTATAATAGTGCTATGAATAATTTTCTTTACAATAGCTAAGATTACAATTCCTATTTAAAACTTTTTCTGATATGGGCATCTAGTATTATGTATGTATGTAAATGTCTATATATGTATGTAAGTATGTAAATGGTTATAGTAATTTAATTTATTAAATTTTAACTTTGTCTGCCTCTTGTTTTTGTAAATATAAATATTTAATTCATACAATTAAAAAATGGAAATATTATTTACGTCTAAAATATTTGCATGAATAATACCTTGCCTAGAACTTATACTTCGTAGATATACATATTTTGTTTACAAAAAATAAAATCTATGTATATATTTATGTATGTAGGTACTAAATATCATGTTGATTTCTCTTTTTTTTTTGTATTTTGTATACCTAGACCTATCCCGAACCGCATTTCCTTTCTATTATTCAACAAAAAGAAATTGGTAAGTGTAATGAACTATTGCATTCTTTACATTACAAAATATTGAGGCTTAAAAAAAAAAACAATAATTTGTTAAAAATTTTAAAATTTGCATTTGTGTGTATGAATGTGTTAAACCTTTCTGATCGGAATACATACTACAGTTCTACACACAGCATAAAGTAAAATTGAGTGTGGGCAAATCAAATAAGTAGAATCAAGTTGTAGATATTATGTACAAACATACAAACATGCCTACTGACGAATTTTATATGTAACTCCATACCTATATATGCAGGTATATATACGAACTCAAGTCAAATTGAAATTACATATAAGTATGTACATACATTTGGCAGTATACGAAAATTTATTTAATCCAAAAAATTTTAATTCCGGTTTGGAGTAGTAAAAAAGTTAAAAGACAAAATAAGAACAAGAAAAATAACGAAATCATTTTTTACATTTACGACGTGTTGTGTGGACACTTTAACATATATATGTATGTATATCCATATATAGATATGTACATATGTATATAGGACTTGTTTAAATTAAAATTTTTATTGTTTTGCTAAAAATATTGAAAAATAAATTTAAATAAAAAAAATTATAAATGTAAAATTTCACATTTTTTTTTAACATACTTCATCAAATTTTTCTCGAATTTCTGCCTTTTGTTCAGTCGACAATGTTTTCATTCTGTTTGCTGCCATTTTTTTCCAAACTTAAGAAGACTTTTTTTCTGTAGAAACCTTTTTTTAAATTTTAAACGATTTGTTTTTTATGATTGAATTTTTTTTTTATTTTTTTAAAGACTTAACGAAGCTACTTTTTTGTTTTTACACTACAAACCACTTGTCTTTTAATTTTGAGAAAATGCTTTTTTTCTTTTTGAATTTTTCTTTAATTTTAAATATACAAATAAATTTGGTTACATAGGTGGTACAACAACTATTTTCTTTTTCAATTTATATGCTATAAAAATTTGTATAAAAAATAAAATTGACAATTTTTTTAATATTTTTACGTTTTCTTCTTTTTCAATAAATTAGCAGCAAAGGGATACCGACTTTTGTATTTTGCGCGACACGTTAAACAAAAAAGAAAACAAAAAACTTTGTGTCTTGTAAATTTTTATTGTTGGCAAAGCGAAGTAGCACTTTGCTTCAAAAAAAAATTTTTTTGTTAGTACTCCTCACTCTATCAAAGTAATCACTGCACTGTTGTTTTTAATATTTTCAATCAACATTCAATTTTCAATTTTTAAAAGAGAATGGAAAATGAATTTACGCTTTCAATAATTCCGTCCCGGCATAACATAATCAAACAAACATGCGTACGTACATAAACTAAATGTAAAATGGAATGGAAATGAAACTAATAAAAAATCAACAATAAAATTCAGTATTCATTATAATAATATTGCTTTGCCTTGCTAAATAATTTTACCTAGAAAAGAAATAAATACAACGAATCAACCACCACCACTAGGCACCAAGCCCATTCAACGCATTAACACGTTTTAATTCCATTTTCCACGTTTTATTTCCAAATTGTTTCGAAAGATGTATTTTTTTTTTGCGTGAATGATGCTAAATGAAATGTCACTGGTTAATTTCATTTTTTAGCTAGTAATTGTAAGATTTTCCTTGTTCTTGCACTTATTTTATAAAAAATTCACATAATTTGTGAAATGTGTGACATTTAAGTTAAATGATCGATGTCATACAAAAAAATAAAGACGATGTGTACAGATAAAGAGAGCATTGTGAAAGGATTAGAACAGAAATGCAAAGGAAAAATATTAAGTTATACGCTAAATTTCTTCTGTTGTATAACAACCGGTTTTATTATTGATTTAAATAAAAATATTTTATATTACTGAAGTTTATAAAGTTAAATTAAGCATTAAAGAAAATTTTAAGAGTAAATACATTTGTACATACATTCATAGCTAAGATTTTCGCCTCAAAATAAACTTGTTTTTTTCTTTAAATATATGTAATGAAAAAAATTGAAATGTTCATGTTGAGTATAGCATTGTTGGCTAAGTTAGATATCTGCCAATGCCTTACTGTGCCAACCCTGAAATTATGTTTGTTTATTGTTTCATATTCAAAATGATTCACTTTTCCATTTGTATTTTTTTTCTTTACAAATTGCAATACTGAAACAAAATCAAAAATTGCTTCAACTGTTTGTTGTTTTCTTTCCTTCCTTTTCGAACTTCGTAAGCCGCCTAAGGAAAAAAAATTACCAAATTATAGTTTTCTTTTTCTATCTTATAAGAGATATAAATTTTTACCAATTACAAGAGAAACAAATGAGCAAATTGTAATTGTATGAAACAAAAATTTTTGATTAAATTGTACATGCATATATATATGTATTGAAATATACATACGTATTACATTTATTTTTCTTTTTGTTTTGGGTGGCTTTTATAACAGATTTTGTATATAAGTTTATATAGAAGGTAGAACTGGTTGTAGTTCGATAACAAAACTTAATATTTTTGTGAACTTTGTGAATTGGTTTAAGCTGTCCATTAATTAAGAAGAAACTATCGAAAATATTTTTTTTCTAAAAATACATTGTGTTTTAAAAAATCAAAAAGCAAATACATTTTTAAAATAAATTTTACAAACCATTTATAGATCACAAAAAAAAAGAAAATAGGTGACCTTCATCAATAAAATTTGAACTTAAAAACTATTGTATTTTCGAAATATATTTTTAAATTTTATTGGTATTAAATCAATTAAAATTATTTTAACAAAACTTGATATGAACGGATTTAGTACAGGTGAAGAAGATTCAAGAGATGTACAACAAATTTGTTGCTTATTGGATGGTGATATCCGATGCAGAAAAATTGGTAGGGAACTAAAAAATCTTTATTGTATCAAAAAAGTAATAATTTTATGGTTATTTTTTATTGAACAGCTGGAAACGCCTCATATAGCAAACGTGTGCAAAAAACAGTTGCACAGCGGAGATTAAAATTGATGATTGATTCAAATGTAAGATAATTTATATTTCTATCTATAATTTTACATATCCACATAAATATGTACGTAGGTATATATAATGTGTATAAAAGCATATACATATATACATATCAATGTTTATATATGCAACAAATGCAATATAAATTTTGAAGTATGGATATGTATGTGAGTACATAGATAACAAATATGATAATTTGTATAAAACAAAAGGTGTATACAAATTAAATTCCAATTCTATTTTTTTTTAATTTTTTAGGCTCATCATACTTATATATGCGATTTTCATAAATCGCGTATACAATGTGCACGTACAAAGCGCCGGCGGAAAGACTCTGAAGATGATAGTAATGAAACTGACACTGATCTTCCCGAAGTAGATTTATATTCTCTACAAGTGAATACATTACGTCGCTATAAACGCCATTATAAAGTACCCACTAGGCCAGGTTTAAATAAAGCCCAGTTAGCTGATCAAATAATGAAACATTTTAAAACTATTCCAATTAAAGAAAAAGAGATTATAACATACTTTATTTATATGGTTAGATCTAATTCGAATAAATTGGATCAGAAAAATGGTATTGGAAATGACACCACGTGAAAATTAGCATCGAATAGAAATTGTAGAAATAAATTGAATAGTAATATGGAAAGTCTCCCTCCGTCAACATCGTCTTCTTTAATAACTACAACGACGACTTTGAATTTAAAGAATTTTTAATATTTTTATTAATAAACGTTTAAAAAATTATTGTAATTTTCTGATTAAAATTATCGTGAAACTAAATCTTTATAAAGAGTCCTAAACCTGAAGTATTTTGAATGTATAATCAATATTTATAAAAAAAATAGCCATACATTGCACACGATATTTATAATAATATAAGCATTTTTAATTTTTAAGATCTATGATTTTTCAATTTGTAAAGTAAATTTTAAAATATCAAGAAGAAAAGTTGTTAAGTAAGAATATATGTATGTATAACATTATTATTGTTTAAGTAAAAAAAACTAAAGTGATATTTTGTTTTTATTTTTAAATTTCATCTATATTAATACAGATTTTATTTTAAAATCATAGTTTCATCCTCTTCGCTATTGTCGCTGCCAATTTCCTCTGAAAAGTAGTGTGAAAATTATATTTAAAAAAAACAAAAAGTTTAAATATACCTTTGATAACAGGTGTTCCTTTACTAATAGGTTTACTCATTTTAGACGCACATAATTTTTCATTCACCGCCTCTAATTGCTGTTCAAGCGGCTTTTCATCTTCATCGCTCCCGTCGCTTATCATAGCTCCTAAATCTCTTGACATATCAATGTCATCTTCATCGCTGTCTGTGTCTGGGAACCAATTAATATTTTTCTGATTCGAACTAATGTTCCCAGTACTACTATCAAGTATTTCAACTACAAAAGTATAAAAGGTAATATGTGGCTCTTCCTGTTTTTAACAATAAATTTCATACTTTTAACAGCTGTCTCTTCACCATCAACAATGTCTGTTTTATCTTCTACTTCCATTTTGACTTCTCTATTTCTACTAAAATAAGGCATACGATAATAGAAATTTCGAAGTTTAAGCGAGAGTTTTTCTTCTTCAACCGTGTTTAACTTTTTATATTTCAGGCATTCAGCAAACCCAAATGCTTCATTGTTTTTCCTGCTTTCTAAATCACAATCAATTTCATACTTTATTAATTCTACAGTGGCTTTCGCATGTTCAGCTGCTTTATTAGCACATTTAAGAAAAAGACTAGAGCTTGTAAGTGTTTTTCCAGATAAATTAAGACAACATAATTCTCTGTAAGAGTTTATTCCAAAAATCATTTCAGCATCACATATCTGTTCCTCAATTAGCGAAGGATCAACCACCGCAATTTGGCTAAAAATAAAGTGTTCATACTTAATCGCTTTTTCAAAGAAATAATCTGTAAACTCTATTTACAATAAAATGAAATATAAAACATAATAATAAAATAAATAAATATTTTAAGTTTATTACCCATCGTTAAATGTCGCATAAGATACGCAAACAGGATAGTGATGCAATACTATAGATATAAAATCTTTTTCAGCCGCTGTATGAATTTTCACTTCGTTTCCATCAACCGTAACGTCAGGTCTTTTAAAGTGTGCTAAAGCGCATAAGCAAGCTGCAGCACAACAATCTTAAATTGGCAATATTTGATTGCAGCTTTGATACAATAATTTAACTCTTACCTATTAAATTGCCGTCATGATTCAAAACATTTACATCAACTCTTAATATCCATACTCTATCTTCGGCTATCACACACAGAGACTCCAAGTCAACACATTTAGAATCTTTAAATGTTCTTTCTAATATACGATTTATGCGAACTGTAAGCTCAGAGTTTCGACCAGCTTCGAAATGAGCTGCTGCCATCGGACTAAGCTCCACATTAATATGTAAAATACCTTCATTTGGTCTAATTGTTTGGGACTGACCTAATTCGCAAGATACTTGTGCAATTACTCTAGTATTCCCTAAAGAAACATGAACACAACCCCAATCGATACCAAAACTTATTATCATAGAGCGGCTTTCGGATAATTTACGTCCATCGAGGCGCTGCAACGCTATATCTATTAAATAAGGTTGTATTTGATTACAAATTTTTTTACTTGATGCTGTTGAAGGCTCTCCAAAATAAATTTTTTTTCGCAATTAGAGATTGGTGTTTCCCTCATATTTAGTATTATTTAGTTTTTTTTACTTAAAGTGTTTTATAAAAATTCAAAACATAAGAGTGATTATTATCGCTTGAAATAAAATTGAAGTCGATAACAAAAACCAAATCAACTCAAAGTTCTTAGGTTATGTTTTTGTCAACTTTTTGTAATTACTCCAAATCTAACCACAATATTAATATATTGATATTCACTCATGTAAATTAAACATAGGGAAAGAGTGAAACAGAATACAATAATACTAAAATCATATACTGAATTTGTAGTTCTATGACGTTAGAATAATATAAACCTTGGTAGGGTTGTTACACTCATCCTTTGATATATGACATTTGATTTGTTAAAAATTAACAACGAGTCATTTTATTTTGTAGTAATCAAGGAAAATTCAGCTTCTTCACTTAACTATATATTTCCTTTAATACGTACAGACTCCTCTTTTCGAACCAGGAATACAAAAGTTGTAATTGTAAAGGTTTAAAAACGACGGCTTATAGCTCAATTGTGGCACAATAATTGTTCGTACGTTTATCAATGTTTATGCTTCGGTTTTTGATTTTTATTATTTTTATACGAACTTTGGTTTGCAAATGCAAAAAGTTTATAGTTAGGGCCTAATCGTATATCTCGCTATTTTACTCGGCAAGTGAAAAGAAAGTGATTGAGTAACTATTTGTCTGGAAAATTCTGTGAGATACCGAATGATTCTTCTCAAAGAAGAATCTTCTTTGAGAAGAATCAATCGGTATTGTTTTTCAATATTTCCATCACGAGATGGAAAAAAATTTTGTATACATTTAAGAAACGGTTTTTTCTAAAATGTATACAAAATTTATTCATTTTGTTCTTGAAAGCGAGTTATTTGAGGAAAAATTTAAAAATCCAATTGAATGCAAGAGTAATTTTATTGGAAAAATGAAATACCCGTTAGAAAAATGGAGAACTCTGGTATGAAAGGCAATAAAAAATGAGTGAAAAAACGAGATACACGATTAGGGTGATAAATTTTTCGAATTCGTTTTAAATACGGTCAAACGAAGTGAACCTATACCCAAGAATTAAGTTTTTATTTTTGAGAACTATCAAATCAAATAGACGAAACATGATCCCTTTGTATTGTTGAAAATCATTTGGGCCTCACGGTCTATTTTTTTTTTGTAACTAGCCCATTTTCTTAATCTTAAAGAAAACCTTAATTCTTCTCCTTTTCAAAAGTTTTTTATACAAAATTTGACGACAAAAATGTGACAATATCTAAAAAGTAAATTACAAAATTGTGTATAACGCTCTTATTATTGAGGATTTACTATATAGGCCATTTCATTCAAGATAATAGTTTTACTTACGAAAATATCGAAAATGTTGCAGAAGTTTTCACGTTAACAGTGTTAACATGTTAACGTGACACCACGTTAAAGTTAATTGTGTTGTAATTTCTTTTATAACTGCTATAATATGCATGTATGTTTTGCTAAAGATTTCATTTCAAATTTTATACCTATCCTGAAAATTTCCAGACTTTATACAATAGACCAACAATGTCACCTCTTTTAACTTTGAAGTAAAATAGCTGAAATTTAAATTATATTACAAATATAAGCGTTTTACTTCTAAAATTAAACGTTTTATCAATTTTGCCTCTTTTTGCTTGAATGTGGCCCATTAATTTTGTTATGAGTGATAACCCTCTTTGTCACCATCGGTTAGATTCACACGATTATATCAAAAAATGTAAATGAAATATTCTATTAATGTAAAATAAAATTGGTTTTTAAATGTATAATAAAATCATTTCCTCCTTTATTTAGATTCCATATTTTTATAATATGCAAAATAATTATGAAGAATCATTTTTTTATGAATAATTTACTAATTTATATGTAAGTGTAAAATAAAAAGGAATTATGTATTTAAAATCAAAAAAAAAAAAGCAGAATAAAATGGAAAAAAAAAAACATTTTTATTTTTTAATTTTTTTTTAATGTCAGCAGCAGTCGTTGTTTTCTTCATATATTATTGTTGTTTTTGTTTTTACCGCAGGAAGATTTTATATTTCATTTTTGTATGTTTCATTTTTTTTTAATTTTTTTTTTTAATTAAAACTCTTTTATTTTTCTTAAAATTTTTTTTTGTTTTGTTTTAAAAATATAAAAGGAAATAAAATTTTCATATATATAAAATCTATATATTAAAATAAATTATAATATATTTTTAGGAAATTGAGATTGTAAAAAGAGAGTTAGAGAGAAAAAAAAAAGACTTCAAGAATTTTATATAAATAAATCTTTTTTTTTTTTGTTTGTTTTCTTTTATATATATATATATATATTTAAATTCTTATTCTTCTTCTTCTTCCTCCTCTTCTTCTTCTTCTTCTTCCTCTTCTTCCTCTTCTTCTGCTTCTTCTTCTTCAGCTTCTTCTTCAACGACTTCTTCTACCTCATCTTCATCTTCAACAACGTCCTCATCAGCTTTAACATCTTCTTCACCTTCAGGTGTTTCTGGTTCACCGGCCTTTTTGCCTGGTCGTTCGCCGAACCATTTTGGTAATTTGGCTAAAGTAAAAATATAAAAGGAAAATTGTGTTTTAATAAAAAAAAAAGTATTTTTGTTTTTGTTTTTGTATACTTATATATAGACTTAATGCACTCATATAAATACATATATATGCATGTATATTTATACTCGTATATGTATGTTTATATAGTTATAAGTGAAATTTGAATTCAAAATAGGCATACATAAATACATAATATAAAATATTATGTATAATTTTGAAATGTTATCTGTTTGACATATATACTTAAGTCGAAATAAATACCGTTAACATAAATAAATCGCAACGAATTTAGAAATAATTCAAAATTTGATTCAAGTTTATTCGAAATTTGATGTCCAACTCGCTAGGAATAGAAAATTTTAAATTTAATATTTAAATATATTGTATAAATATACAAAAAAAAAATTCCTTTGTGAAATAATTAGATGAACTGAGTAAAAAGAGTTAAATTTGCTTTAGAATATAAAAATTGCGAATATAAAAATTTGCTTTAGAATATAAAATGAAAATAAAAACATAAATATCAAAGAATTTTGCCCAATTTTAACATATATATATATGCATATATAATATTCATTGTAATATACGTGTAATATATATTTATATATAAGTATATTTTTTTAAACACTCTTCATATTTTTACAAATATTAAATATGTGGTTTATGTTTGTACTTAATTATAACAAAAAAATATTTATATTTTGTATAAAATGCATAATTATGTTAAATGTAAAAAAAAAAAAAAATTTTTTTGTCTGGATTTATTAATATATTGTGAAATAACATTTCTCATATATATATATATATATATATAATTAGTTAATAACGAAACAATGTTATTAACAAAAAAAAAAATTTATGTAAATATAATTTTTTTTTTTAATTAGATTAATAAATATAAAAATTATTAATTAATTGCAATATGTTTGTGCATATATATATATAGGTGTAAAGTTGTGAATGTATGTGTTTATTTTTTAAATTATAGTGTATATATGACCTTACCCTTTTGACGGTTTGAGTATTGATCCTTCTTTTCTGACCAAACTTTTTCAAGGTAATCTTTGGCAATTTCATCCAATCCCTAAGTGTATTTTTTATTATATTATATATTTTGTTTGTTGTTGTTGTAGTTGTTGTAGTTGGTTTTGGTATTTTTTTTTTTTTTGCGTTTTCAAGTGACAAACAAAAGGAAGAAACAAGAAAAAAAAAATAATAATGGGGTATGAGAAAAAAAAACGTGCATGTTAGTTTTAATTACAAACAAATTTTTGTATAATAAATTATTAAACTTTTATACGAATATAGTATTACAATATAAGGCGAACTTCTAAAAATTAAAAAAAAAAAATTATTTTAATCTTTTCTTGTTTTTTTTTTCTTATTATTATTTTATAATTTTTTTCTATTATAAAGGATTAATAGAAATATATTTGAAATAAATATAAATTAATTAATGAAAATTGTATTTTAATTATGTATATATATATTAATTTTTAATGTAATAGTTTAATCGAAAATAATTTAATTTAAAAATAGAAATTTAATTTTTTATTCATTTTAAAATATGAAAGATTATCTCCTCTTCCCGCTTTATTATATAAATTATTATATTCCGCTTTAATATATACAAATTTAATATTCAATACTTACATACAAACAATAACTTATTTAATAAAACTTGAGTAACTTATTTAATAAAATTTTATTTTGTTTTGTTATTAAAATTTCAAATTTAATATAGGAAATCATTCGCAATATATAGTTGTTTAATAAAATTATACATAGCCATATAATACGAGTCTATCTACATAATATTTTGGGATTTTTTTTTTTTAAATTTAAGTAATACATATTATTTATAAATATTTAAACCATTTTGTCGCATGCAATATCGTATTAAATTTGCGCAATTACTAAAATTTCTAGTAGACATATATTGAAAAATGTTTAATTATTATTATATGTATATGTGAATTTAAATTACTTTTATTTCATTGTAATTTTATAGAGTTAGAATTAGTATTTGCAGAGTAATTTTTTTTTTATTGCAGAAATTTTGCTAGTGTTTGTAGCACATTACGCGTTTTAATCAAAAAGTTGATTTGTTTGCGATGCATGCGACGCGAAGAAATATTTTTAAATTAATTTACTTTAGAAATGAAAATTTCTCTTTCGAAATTCGAAAAATATAATTAAAAAATATTAATATTGTTTTAAATAATTTATTGTATACGAAATAATTATTAAAATATTTTTATATGGTTAATTTAAGAAACTTAATTTAAGAATTATATATATTTGATCCTATATGTAGTTTATATCACTAAAGAATTCCGAAAACAAAATTAAATGCTTTTATAAAAAATTTATTGTATAAATGTTGAAAAGTTTTTTATGTTTATATATGAAATTCATTTATAAAAATATCAATAAATAAGTATATGTATAAAAAAAGAAAATAAATATTAAACTGTTTTGGTGTGAAAATTTTTAATAAAAAAATTGTTCGAAATTTTTTTTTTTTCAATTTTTTGCGTAAGAAACGATGAAACAAAACACGTAAACATCAAACATATAAAATAATTTTTTAGATATTTAACTTTAAAATTAATACAAAAAACAAAAAAAAAAAAAAATAAAAGAAATTGGAAATAAAAATTATTTTTTTTGTTGTTTTTTTAAAAAAAAACAATAAAATTATTATTAAACAAAAAACAAAAAATTCAAGTGTGAAAACGTGTGTAAAAGTACAGAAAATTTAACAAATATTTTAAATTGTTTCTTTCTGTTATTCAAAATTAAAAAAAGAATTGACATGTTCTTTTTTTTCGGTTTCTTTATGGATGTTTTTTTTTTTTACACAAAAAGAAAAAAATCTTACATTTTGTTCGTTGCGTAAAAAGTTCGTGTTTTGCTTGCCACGCTTTTTCTCTAGCTTCAGCTAGTAAAGTATCATAGCCCTAAATCGTTCATATATAATATTTTAACGTTTATTATTATTACTATTATTTAATATTATTATAATATTTTTTTTATTAAATTTTAATAATTTTTTAAAAAAATTAATTATTTTTTTTTAAATTAAAAATTAGTATACTTAAATTTATTTTAAATTTAAAATTTTATATATTTTATGCTCTTATATATTTATGAAACTTATTATACTATTATTATTTTAATAAAATATAATAAAGTTTATAAAAATATACTTACACCTTCAAAGAGTTTTTTCTTATCGTCATATGAGCGGGTATCAACACGTCGTTCATATTTTGATGCAACTTGGATTTTAGGCTAAAATATTAATGATAAAGTATAAATAAAATATCAAATATGAATGAAAAATAATTAAAATAAATTAAATTTCATTAAAATTTAAAAAAACAAAATACTTACAGGATATTTACCGGTAAGGGCTTCTGGGTCAAGACCTTTTTTAAGGGCTTTGTGTCTGAGTTGTTGTTTTTGTCTTTCTTTCAACTCTTTTAACTGTTATATATAAAATAGAAAATATGGTATTAATACAAAATATAAATATATATTTATGTATATGAATAAATATACTAACATTAATAATAAATGGGAAATATGAAAATTAATTTATGCAAATAATTTAATTATTTAAGTAATGTATAAAAATATTAAAATAATTACATCGTAGTCTTGACGTTTTTGCCTTTCTTCCAAATCATATTTTTCAGTTTCTAATTTGACAATAAGTTCCCAGAGTTCCTTAGCTTTTTCACGGAGAGAACTTTCACCTAAGCCATCAATACTCAATGGTTTAATACGGAAAGATAATGAGATTTTCTTTTCTTCTTCAAGTTGTTCTTTGGTCTTGTTACGTTCCATGGCAGCTGATGACAAACCAAGCTATATATTTTTTTTTTTTTTTTTTGGGGAGAAAAAAAAAATAATATTTAAGGATCATATAAGTATCGCAAAAAGAATCCTACTACACCGGACTCCTTCTTGGCAATAGTGAAGTTTGGTCCCTTTTTGTCCTTTTCTTTCATTGCTTGAACCATTGCCTGGCGTTTCTTTTCAGCCTCTTCCAATCGTTGTCTCTTTTCTTCAATATCACGTTGTTTCTTTTCTTCAACTTCACGTACACGGCGTTCTTCTTCTTCTTTCTTACGTTGAGCCAATTTAGCTTCTTCTTCAGCTCTTGTTACTTTACGTTTAGCTTGTTTCTCTTTAAGCTTTTTAAGTTCATCTTCTTCCTTGGCTCTTTGTTTACGCCATTCTGCGATATATTCCTTGAGTTGTTCATCTAAATCGGAACGTTTTTGATCTTGACGTTTAATGAATTCTGGATCACCCTCTCCTCTTTAATAATTGTAATTTTTACATAAATTTTGTTTATTGTATAGATTCGTGGAGAAATGAATAAATATAAAAAAAAATAGATAAAAAAGTCAATACAAGTTTTGAAATATTTTGTTAATTTTAATGAGTAAAAATTTTATATTTTATTTTATAGTATGTACTGTATCTATATTAAATGTTTAAAATATGGTGTTATTTTGCATTTTTTCCAGGGTTAACAATATACATAAAGCTGGTTTAAATTAAAAAAAAAATTAACAGGAAATCAAGCAAATAATGAGAATAGGTAACAAGAATTTTTTTCTAAATTAAAAATTCAATTTAAATCAATTACACTTGTTGTACTTTAGTTGTAGTGCTTTTGGTAAATTTATAATCGATTGTTCATTTTTTTCGATTCTAATATTATCGAACTAAATTGTATGGGTTTATGTTCAATATTTTTATAATGTTATGAATAATTTACAGCTACGAAAAATGCGTAAATGTCAATTAATAGAAATTATTGATCTATCGATTTACCAATAAATTAATTTTAAATGATGAATTTTAATAATTTTTCAAATTATTTAAAATGAAATTGACATTACCAAAACATATACATATAAAATTAAATACTGTAGGGTAAAAATTGAAAATAAAAACGTTAAACTGTCATGCACAACTTCTTATAATATCTTATTTTCCAATTAATTGTAAAATACAATTTTTTTTTATTTGAAATGAAATATCAAAATTTTATATAAATATGAAATACTATAATTTTAAATAAAGGCAAAAAATAGAAATACTACTAAAATTAAATCAATCAAAATATTATTTATTTTATTTAATAATTTTGCGAAAATAAAATATTTTCAATAATTCATTTATTTCTTTTCGAATTAATACAATTTTCTTTTCGAATTAATACAACAGATATATTAGTATAATTTTTAAATATATAAATTTATGTTATAAATAAATTTCTTGATTTTAATCTAATTTAATATACATATATATTTCTGATATTTTAAATATTTCAAAGAACCTATTTTATTTTATACTTTTAAAATATTGCTATGTAGCTTGATGATCATTCATAATTTACATCAAATTTATATTGTTTGTAGCTTCAAAAACTCAAAAAACAAAATTGCAATTAAATGTTATATTAAAAAAAAAAATAATAATATTATTTCAATTGTTTTAGGTATTTATATATAAATTAATTACTCGTATAATAAAAAAATTAAGAAGTTAAATAATTTAAGAACAAAATTTTTTTAATTAAATTTCGAACTTCAATACCAATTTTAAGCACATGTAAATTTATTTAGTTTCTTTTATAACTTAAGCTGCATATATTTAATGTGTATTTGGTTTATTATTATTTAATTACATAGATATGTATATACACAATTTATTTGTGTAAATGATTGTTATAATATTGTTTCTACCTTCTTGTCGTTCAATTGTCATATTTATTTATTTTTTTTTGACATTTCTAATGACAAGAATAAATAAAAATTGTTTTCAATGTTCAATTAACATTTAAAAATACTGAAAAGTGAATAAGATCAGTTTGGTTGATACTGATTCCTTTTATGTATATATATGCATATATATGTAATAAATAACCAAATTATAAAGTTGAATACACATATATTATGTATAATCGGGCCATTTTTTTAAAAATTCTATTATGTTATTCATATATTTAACGTAAAATTGCAATGCTCGCTTTTATTTTAATTTTCAAAATTTTTAACTTTTATTCTGTCAAAAAGAAAAATCAAAATTCAAAGATTTCATATTAATATATAGTATAAATTTTACAAAATTAATTTTTTTTTTTTTTAAATAAAAAAAAACAAAATAATATTAATAAATATAAATCTTTTATAGCATAGAAGAAATTTTATAAGAACTTAATTTGTGATTAATTGCTGCAATTTTTTATTTAAAAAAAAAAAAACTTACTCGGCTGGGGCAGATTGTGTCTCGGTCCTGGTCGTAGTTCTATATATTTTGTTTTATATATTTCAATTCGAATGAAAATATTTTTTTTTTATATATATAAATGTCATGTGTGTCGTATAATAAAATGGCAACATTTTTTTTCGATATGATTGTATACAAAAAAATTCATCGATTGTTTTTCAAAAAAAAAAAATCAAAAATTGAAAATGGAAGAAAAGAAAAAAAAATTCAAAAATTAAATAACAAAAACAAAAATTATAATGACTTTATAATAAAATAATATTAGAATTGTCAAAAATCTCTTAATAGCTATTACTTAAAATAATTTTAAATTGTCAATATTTCTTGAAAAAAATTAAAAAGTTCAATAAATCCGAAAAATTCGAAATATTAACAATTCAAAAAATAAATTTTGTTATTTTTTACGTTTATAATTTTGTATTTATTAAACTATTTATTTTAATTTTGTAGTTAATAATTATGGTATAAAGTTCAAATACAAAATGCAATAGGTTGATTCAATTTTTAATATTTTTCTATTATGCAGTTGTAAATCTTATTTTTCGATATATGTATATGTATATATCTAAATTTATTAGAAATTTATTATTTATTAAAATTGATATTTACAAATATTACATTGAATTGTAAACTAGTGCATGAGAAATCATGCACTAGCCCTATGCTCCTTCTAGGAGTGAATAAGGAAAAAAAAAAAAAAACATTGAATTGTATATAGAAGCTATTTGCAGCTAAAAGAACTTACCTTCGATGTAAAATTCAATTACAAATATAAAAATGTAAGGATGAAATATAATATGAATTATTTATCAATTTAAAATAATTTTTTAATGATTAAAAGGGTCAACTAAATTATATTTAGGCTATAAAAAAAAAATGAACAAATTATTTACTTTATTTAACAATTTAATTTTAAATTGCCACATAAAATTATTAAAAATAGATTTATAAAAATTATGTTATATAATTGTTATATGTCCGAATTCTTTTTTTTATAAACTTTTTTTTTAATATTCAATTTGACTTATTCAGCAATATATGATTTTTATTGCCGAATGATTCAAAATAATATTAAATCTATGTATATATTATATTATACGTTAGGTATTTGCTCTTCGTCTGCAAAAAAAAAATTGAACCAGCAAATGAATTATGTATTTGACACTTAAATGAAGTTTTTTTTTATTATTTTTTTTTTGTTAAGATTATATTACAATTTAATTTATTATTTGAATAATATAAATTGAAAATCTAATATTAAAGAGTGTGAACAATTAATATTAAAATTCTGTCATAAAATCATAAATTATTTTATACCAGTATTACAATTATTTATATTGTCATTTTTAATGGCTTCAATAAATCCTATATATCTTTTTTTATATGTATAAAAAGAATAATTTATATACGTATAACTTACCTCCTGCAATAGAAAAAAGATAAAAGAAAAAATATTTTTAATTAATATCTATTTGTTGATTAACAAGAAAAATAATTTTAGAGCCATTATGATTTTTTTTTTATTCATTTGACAGCAAGACTTTATATAGCTTTTATATTGTTTTTTTTTTTTTTTGTACAAGAAGTTAATTATTTTGCTTATTATTTGAGCGTAGAGCAAAAAAATTAATTACATAAATATTTTTGTTATAAAAAATTAATAAGAATTTGTATATATATGTGTGTATGTGTACAGTCTTTATATGTGTTTCAAATTAAAAAAAAAATATATATATATTTTTAATTTCGAAGGAATTTTTACTTGTTTTTCGTAAAAAAAAAAAAAAACTTAAAGACAGCAGAACAGCATTCAGTTGTCAAAGAGTTATATGCATATAAGAGAATCTTTTTATATAAAAATATATATGACATGTTTAATATGTATGTAGTTGAAAATAGAATAAAAATATATTACAATAGGTTTTTTTTATTTATTAATATGATTTTAGCAGCCATTTTGTAATCCTTTCAAAATTAAATAGATATTATTATGAATTTTTTTTCTTTTTTTTTTTTTATTATAATACAATTTTTAATTAATATATTAAAAAATTTAATTAAAAAAAAATATGTAGTCACAAAAATATGCTCGCAATAAATTATTTTCTTTAATTATATATTATATTAGTATTTAGAAATGCAAATTATGGAAGATTTAGAATTCTTCAATTTTATTTATTCATATAAAATAAATTTCGGAAAAAAAAATTGAAATATTTGTATCATATGAGAATATTAAAATTGAATATATTATGTGTATTAATTTTAAATTCAAAAATTTAATGTGTGTACGTATAAATTAAATTTCAAATTATAGAAAATATTTCACCTAATATTTAAATTTGATATACTCAAATTAAAATTATTCTATGAAACAACAAAAACATAGAGTGTATATCAGTATAGAGAGTCTAAAATCAACTTAAAGAAGCATCAAGTAAAATTGATCTACATAAGATTTATTATGAGATTTGCTTAACAATCCTTGTCTTCAAAATCGCAGTAATACGTTATTACTATACACAATTCAGCTTAAAATAAGAACTTGCTGAATTTATATACATTTTTATACATATATATGTAAATATGTAAATTAATAATGTAAAACTTAAAATTTCTTGAATATTAATTTTTATAATCTTTTGAATATTACGATATGGGAACAAAATATAATATATTACGAGCATTTTTACATTATAAAACATTAAAAAAAAAAAATAGAAACATATAATATATATTAAAAGAGTAATTAAGAATTTCTTTTAATTTCATTAATCTTAAGTATAATATTAAAATTAAAATTTAAAAGAAAAGTTATTATTTTTTTTTTGGTTTTATTAAATTATTGTATATATATGACAATTATTTGCTAGTAAAAATCATGTATAGAAAGCAATTATTGTATATATTATGTGAATATTCTGTTATCATATTTTATTTGAATTAAATTAATAAAATTATTAATTGTTTAATTTTTTTTTTTTTTTTACAATTATTATTATATAATATATGTGTTGAATATTAATTCTAGAAAAAAAATATTAATATCATATTATATATAATACATATATATTCAACGCATATACATATATAAAATAAATGTATGTATGTGTGCATCTGAGAAAATTTACTAAATCCCGATAATCCATCATCATTTTACTAATTACCGTTTATAATAACTAATTATTGAAATAATAAAAATTGAATAAAATAGAAAACATAGAAAAAACTGAAATAGTTAATTATGGAAAATAAAAGTAATTAACTGTAAAATTTTAATTTTGTCAAAATTATTCTAAATTTTTTTCCATAAATAGTATACAAATCCTGTATATAATAATTTTTAAATTATACCGGCATACCGAAAAATTTCAATTTTTAAATTATCATCGGGTTTTGGTATATTTTCACAGGTATATATATATTATATATATATATATACCTGTGTATTATTTTAAAAATTAACACAAATATTATATAAATTACATACTTAAATTATATTTTTATATACATTTGATTTATTTTTTTTTTTTATTTTATTGTCTTTTTTTTTAAATAAATAAAAATTAAATTTTAAATTTTTGCAAGAGCTATTTAGAGAGCTTTTTTATTTCATAGCAAAATAATATAGCCATTATCTATATTATATAATAATTATATTAATTAAATAGCAATTTTTTTTTAGAAAAATAACTTACGTCTCAACGACCTCTTCGACGACCTCCTCCTCTTCAGAGCTAAATTTATATATATATATATATAAATAAAATATTAGAAAAAATTTTTACATATTTTTTGTGTTTTTTTGTTTTTTTACAAAAAATTTAATTTAATTTTAATTTAAATTATTTTCTTCAATTATATTTTATTTGTTTTTGCAATATCTTACATTTAATATATAGAAAAAATACATTCCCCAAAGAGTATATTGTTTTTCTTTTGATTTTTCTTATTTCATATTTTTTTACTAAATTTTACACAGATTTCTTATTAAGAAATTTATTTATTTTTAATTCAAAAACAAAAATATCAAGAAAATTTTTATATAAAAATAAATTGTAAAATTTATGATGATTTTCAATTAATTAAATATATTTTCCTCTAACAACATTATATAAAATAACTATTAAAAATTCCTAATTAAAATAAAAAATATTTTATTAAAATTTTTAAAATTAAATAATAAAATTAAAACATAAGGATTTAAGGAAAACAAAAAAGAAAAGAAAAAACAACAAAAATTAAGGAAAATGGGAAATAAAAATATAAAAACCAAAAACAAAATCAAAAAACGGGATAAAAAAGAATAAATACAAAATATGTATATAAATATTAAAAATGGCGTATAACATTGTTTCTTGATGTATTTCTGATATAATTATATATTAACAAAAAAGGGGAATATTTAAAATACTATGCAAAAAATGACTAAATAAAAAACTAAATATTTCTTTTTGTTCAAATTGAAATTTTATCATTAATAATTTAATATTAAAATGCACTCATTCATATTATGTTTGTATTTTAGTCTGTAATTTCAAAATTGCAATATTACGTATTACAACAAAATTTAGTACAATTATAACTCATTAGCTAAGTTAATGTAATATTACTACGATTTTAAAATCTAGATATCTCTAGAATGTACGCATTTTATTTGACAGTATATTAAGTATACTGTTAACATCAAGGGAATGAAAATATTAAGTTGACATTCAAATTAAATTTTTTTTTTCATATACGTAAAGTTTTCTAACTCAGTCAGAATAAATTCAAAAGTATTAATCGAAAAGTGTAAAATAAAAAAAATTGACTAATTAGAAAAAATTAATTCGTGTCGTAAAGAATATGATTTATAGACATTCATGAATATTTCTGACTTTTCAACACTATTACATCAAAGTTTCATTTATAAATTGTTTCATATTTTTCGCTTATTTTATATATTTCTAGATTTCATTTAAATAATTTTTTTTTAACAAACTCAAAAGTTTTTGAGTTTGTTAAAAAAAAATTTTGACAACTTTAAAAATCGATATATCGATTCAATACAAAATATTGAAAATATTTACTATCGATTTTCTATAAAATAACATTCTTAGCACTATTAAAATTATTGAAACTAATAAACTACTTTTGAGATTACTATTTAAAAGTACATTACTACTAAAATTACAGTACTAATTGAAACATCTGCTCGGAAACTACCGCATTAAAGCTATAAAACATTTTAATATAAAAATATTTTTACTTATTTAATTTAATTATACAAATAATTCAATACTGTGTATTATGAGAACAAAAAAGTGCATTTTAGAAATAAAAAATTATAAATGATTAAAAATTTTATGAAACAAAAACTTTTTAAACGGTACTTACACAATAAAAAAATCAAAAATGATATAAAAAGTAAAAAAATTTTTTTTTTCATGTATTTTATTTTATAGGGGGACATGTGGTATACTAAGGTATTAATCAAAATTCAGATCTAATGTCAATTTGACTTATTCAGCAACAACATTTTAATTGTTAAATTAAAGCGGAATTGACTTTAGATTTTCATTTTGATAGACGTCCTTATTTTAGTTTTGAAATTAAAATATTTGTATGATATAAGTTTTTATAGTTATTCATACATATATTTTTATAATATGATATTTATATGTATGTGTATATTTAAATACTTACGTGTATTCCTCATCATCGGACATGTTTGTGGTTTTGGTTAATTAAATCTAAAAAAGAAAAGAAAAAAATAAAATTATTATTAAAATTATATATATGCATATATATATAATAAATACTGTACTCTGATGTACAGAATACAATATTATTTTCTTAGTGATTTGAATTTTTTTCTGATAAATTGTATGTTTAATAAAAAAATTTAAATTATTTATAATTAATTGAGAATTATTTATAGATTTTTATATTTAAATTTTATAATTATAATAATTTTATTTTATAATATTTATTTATCTTATTTATTTTTTATAATATTATAATAAAAATTTAAAATTTCAATTATTTTGAAATCTCATTTATTCTTAATATAATCAATCAATTTTAATTAAGTTTATGCAGCGCCATGATTAAATCTGAGCCAAAAAACGAAAACGTTCAACATTAAAGCATAATTTACATTGGCTGTCAAATTGTTACAATAATTTGTTTTTACAAACGTACATAAACATATTTATATATTAAATTTTTCTAAATGATAATTGCAATTTTAACATATTTACAAGTAGTTTAAAAAAAAAAAATGTTCAATAAAATTTTAACAAAAATATTTTAATAAAAATATGCGAAGCAACTAAAAATATGCAATTTTTCATGTAATTTAGAAAATTAATGTAAATAAAATTAATATTTAAATAATAATAATTTAATGTAAATTAAATAAACTAAAAAAAAAATTCAAAATAAAATCTAAATTCTATTGTAATTATTAATAATATGTCAATTTGTGACACTAAAATGTCATTGTACATCGAAGAGAGAGAACGTAATTTGCAGCTTTTACTTTCTCAGTAAATATAAAAAATTTACATTATAAAGCAGTAATATTAATTATATGAGAATTAGAATATTTTTACTATATTATTGAATTAAATATAAAAAATTCAAAATCTTAATAGAAAAATATAAAAAAGAATTTAATTGACATTATTGAAAAACCTGTAAAAGTTTAAGGTTTAAAATAATATGCCATTATTAAATGAAATAAATGTATATATACATATGAAAATATGAATTTTAATATTGTTGGCTTTCGAAATATTTTCAACAAATTTCAATTATTTAGCCTTCACAAATGAATGCAAACATATACATACATAAATATTACATGTAAATTATTCAATTGCCAATTTTTTTGGTTTTTCTGATTAAAATTTTAAGATAAATAAATTATTACATTGCTTATGTAGCTACTTTTATTTTTAATTTCATTTTAAATTTTGTAATTTTCAAATTTTATTTTGTGAATTTGTGATAATTGCATGGCTTTAGCATGGCATGGCAAGTATTTATTCGTCTTATTTTGAATAATGTTATACATACATAAAATTTATTTTTATTAATGTACCTATATACATATAAAATTCAAAGATTTTAATATAAAGTATTTAATTTAATTTTCAAGTATCTAAGTATACTGAAAATATTTTTTAAGCCTAAAATTCTAAATTTGTACAACTTCTGAGTGTAAGAAGATTTCTCATTCACATATATTAGAACTTTTTAAGTACATGACTTGGTATATAACTCTTTCTATTCAAGTATTGTAACTTTTTAGATTAAAATTGGTGTTCTTATAGACAAGATATATATATAAAGGGTTTTGAATATATGAAATTTTTTTGTTTTTTATTTTTTTGTTAAAATTCTTTTTCGCTTCATTGAAGAAATTATGAATCAACAACAAAAAATCTAATTGAAGAAGTTTACCCTTTAATACGATTAAGACGTTTTCCTTAAATAAAACGGACTTAAAGCCGAATTTGAATATTTTTATGTGTTCACTTCGTCAATATCCAACATTTTTCTATTATGCTCTTCTTCAAATTTATATTTTTGCAAAAATTTTAAAAAGCTTAAAAACTTCTCTAGAACTTTAAGCAGAATTCTTATTTTCGATCTTATTATTTTTGAGAAATTATTTTACAGATTTTGCAATTTTAAATTGTCAAATGTATTTTATATTAAAACCTAAGTTATATTGGCAAAATTATTAAACTTTTTATTGATAGAAAATTAGATTTTGTATGCAAACCCCCTAAAAGTATGCAAATTTTTATTATACTCATAAATGTACACTTTTATCATATAATATAACATATTTAAAAGAAATTATTAAAAAAAAATGTTGTTAATGCAAAAATTAAAATTTTCATTTTAAAGAAATTTAATTTAAACTAATAAATAACAAATCAAAATCCAAGAAAAAAATAAGAAAAAGAAGAAAATAAATTAACCTATATTTTTTAATTTTTATTTATTTTTCTTTTTTTTTGTTTTCTGTTTTTTTCAAAAATTTTGTTATTGTATTAAAAAAAAATTTTTTTTACTCTTTTTTTTCTTTAAATTTTAAGTATATGAATTTCTATAACACGTAATCAATAATTTTATATATGTATATATATATATATATACCAAATATATATATAAGTAGAAATGTATGTAGGTTGGTATGTATATATAATATATTATGCATATATTTTAATTTTTTTATTTTATCTTTTTTGTTTTGTGTATTTTATATTTTAAATATTGGACGCTTGCGCCAATATAAAATAATATCCAAGTCACCAAAATGGGATATGTGCTGTATAAACATTCAGTCTCCTTCTCTTATAAATTATTGTGAATCAAAAGAAAAATAAAATTGCGAGTTTTTCTAATTTTAAAAATAGATTTTTTTTTTTCTTAGTGAAGAGATACCGGATTAAATTTCTTTGCAGTACATATTATTTTATAACATAATGTATATACATATATACTCATATGTGTATGTGAGTTAAAGTATATATTTGTGTAAACTTGATGGTGGCAACACACACCTTATTTTCTAAAAAAAAAATTTGAAATTTATTTATTTATTTGTTTAGTTTTTTTTAAGATTTTTTTTTCCACATTTTATTTTGACATTTTATTTTGCAAAATATTTTTGTAGGTGGTTAAAGTTTTAATATGTACAAATCATATAAATATGCATACAGATGTATACATATAGACATTTATAAATATATATGATATATGTATGTATGATTTGTTAATAGTATTAATAAACAAATTATATGGTATGTTGGGGGTTTGTATAATATATGTGTAAGTATATTATAATATGTATGTCACGTATATAAATATTAATATTTTATATAATATTTTAGAAAAAGAAGAAAAAAAAAATTTTGAATTTTTTCAAAAATTTTTTTAAAAATTTTTTTTTTGAAAAAATTTTGTGAGTTGAAAGAATAAAAAGAACATTAAATAATTTATTACAGATTTTTACTGAGTATAAAACTAAAATATCTGTGTATATATAAACAATTTAAATATACACAGTTATATATATGTATATATATATATATATATATATATATATATATATATATATCATATTTTAATAGAATTTTATTTGATTTGCCATGGTTTTTATCAAAAGTTTTTAATTCAAATTGTTTCAAATTTGTTTTCAATTAAAAAACTATAATTTTATTAATTTGACTTTTTGATTTTAACTTTTAATATAAAATATTATGAGTATATATATATATCTACATATACATAAAAGAGAGATTAATTTTTTATAGGACTTGTTTTATATATCGTATAAAATAAGAATTAGGTAGTGGTTTTAGATTTAGATATGAATTAGAAAGACGGAAAAAAGACGCATTCATAATATTGTTGCAATACATACATATATAACATATATATATGTATAGAATCCCATGTACACAATAAAACAAAAAAAATATTAAATTAATTTGAATATAAGTTATATTTATGCTTATATTAAAATTTTTATACTAGAATTACGAGCCAATTTAATTAATATAAAAAAAATTGGCTGATTAAACACCGTAGATACATATATATCTGTCTTAATAATAACTTAGAATTCTCAATTTAAAGTTACTCAGTATTATATTGTCAAAAATTGTATTCAAATTAAACTCTAATTGTAATCGATTGTAATCGAACAAATTTTTTGAATAAAATTTAGTCATGAATAATTAGTGTTATTCTCAAAAACCTAATTTTTCAGTACTCTGATTATATCCCACTCTTCCTATTCGAGTGCCGGAAACAATTTCCTTTTTATTATCTTTTCAATATGTCAAACTTAATTATTATCAATTCTCTATTTATTTTTTAATTTAACTATAATATTAAATAATAAATTATGATTTAAGGAAGCTCTCGTTTATAAAAAAAAGAAACTGTAAAAATACAAATTATGTAATTAATTTAGTTTAGAAATTTCTTTTATTAAATATTTTATAAATCGTAAAAGTAAGTCCAATATGTATGCATGTATAAGTATATGATAAGTTTTGTAATTATTTGTTAAATAAATTTTTATATTTATAATATCCGCCTGTTCAAATAAAATAGAACAAAACAAAAAAATAAAATTCAAAACTTTTATTTTTATAAGAAGAAATTTTAATTTTTTTTTTGCAAAACAAAATCCATATATATACATATACATATATATATATAGTTTTATGATATATGAAGAAAAAAGAAACAACATAAATATATATGAATATTTTGAATAGGTGTACAATAATATTTTCCTTTTTTCTCTCATATCTCTATTGAAATCTTTTATTTTAAGAATATTCTAAAATAAACTTGAATTCTTCGAATTCTTGTTTTCTTTTTTTCGTTTTCTCTTATTATTTTTTCTTGTTCTTATTTATTTTAAATTTTTGAATGTGTTTATATTTAAATTAGAATAAAATATCGAAAACCCTTGGAAACACGTACATATAAACTGAAATGTGTATTTTAATGGCTTAGAATAACTTCAACGAATTTATCATTTATATACGTGTATATACGAAAAAATTCCAAAAACTTTTGAAAGCAAAAACCGAATAATAAAAATTATTTTAAAAATATTATTAAAAAAATATTAATAAATATTTTAAAATCTAAAATTTCAATTTGAATTCAATTAAAATATTAAAAATTTAAAATAAAATCGACAAAACTGAACACGTACTTTTATTCGAATTAGTTTTGTTGTTGCATCATTTTAAAAATAAACAACAACGACTACACCAATACAATATTAATCGTGAAATTTTTTTACTTGCTAAAGTATGGCTTAGTATTCTGTCAATTATTCCTTTATTAAATTTATAGCAAATGAAACGTCATTTTCAAAAATAAACATTATTTCTTCTTTTTCTAATTTTAGATTTTTATTTTTCAATTAAATATATATAACAGTGTTTGTATGCTTATGCAGAACATTAAATATTTCAAAGAAAGATTTGAACATTGACAATAAAATGTACATGCATTTTTTTTTTTGGATTTTCAAAATCATTGTTATGAGTAAGAAGATCAAATGATTGCCAAAACATAAAAATATTACATATTTGGATGTTTTGTAGGTGTGAATAAAAGTCAATGAGAGTCAAGTCAAGTTAATGAATTTAATAAAGGACAAATATTTGTATAGATTGCAAAAACTATATGCTACAATATGTAAAGTTAAAAAAATCAATTGAGGTTATAAAATATTTACACCGCATATAAACAAACACCAATCGCATATTTATTGTAATGAATTTATTTTATTGTATATGTACTGTAAATGTAGATATGCATTTTTTGTACAAATTACAAAAATTTAAATAGTATAACAGGATTAAGGGGTTTATTAATATTAATAATATTATTAACATTGTCCTGTCTTTAAAATTATTAAATATATATTATTATAATATATTATTAATATACAAAATTTAGCAATTAGAACTGTTAAACTGAATTATTAAGTAATACAAAATTATTACAATTTTGTACTTTATGGAGATATTTAAATGCCTATACAATTCCAGACTATACTAATATATACTCTAACAATGTGTGTACGTGACACTTAAAGCCATTGCCGAATTACGTACTAAAACAATATTAGTTCAAGTACAATATTGGGGTATAGGAAGGTTAAAAAGATTATTTTCAATGCAAGTGATAAAAAGTGAAATTGTTTTATGTATTTAATATATTATATTATGTACATTTTAAATAAAAGAATAAAATCACATATAAAAATTTTTTGATATTATTTTGACAATTTTTTTTCTTTCATTTGATTTTTTATATCAGAATATAGGAAAATATCCTGCAAATAAAAAATTAAAAAAGATGCAATATTCATTGAAAAGTTTTTAACAAAATTAAAAATTGTGTTCAAAACTGTATTTTTTTTTTTAATTTTATGATTTTACTTATCTGTGTTTGTGTGTGTGTATTAAAAATGAAAATTAAGCGACCATACAAATTAAGCACATGTATATATATGGATATGTATGTATATAAATACATATATATTTACATATTTTAAATAGTTTTCAAGGTTATACATTTTTATATAATTAAAATTCGTATATAATGATCTACATAAATATATGCATTAAAATATATGTATGTATAGATGGACATATAACAATAGAGTTGTATGTATATTTCAAATTTTTATTTAATATTTATATTATTACATACAATACATGTACATATATATAAAATGTGATTTTTGTTATATATTAAGTGGGGGAAGTGTTTTAATAAGTAAAACAACAAAATATTGAAAAATAATAAAAAAATTTATAATTAACAAAATTAATAGAATTTTTTTATTTATACATATATGTATATTTTATGAACATATAGACAAATAATTTTGATATATACTCGTATATATATATAATATATACACCCGCATATACCAAAAATACTAATATTAATCATATTATTATGTGATTTTCAAATTACGCAATAATTGAGCTATTTTTAAAATTAAATATGTATATGTATATGTATATTTACTAATTTTTTTTTACAGAACATTATATTTTACATATATATATAATATATTATTCAATATTTAGGTACATATATAAGTATAATATGCAAAATTCTTCCATCCCTCCCTCATTCTTCTATACTTTATATAATTTATGTATGAGCTTCTAATCATATAATAAATGTATAATATATAATGTAATTAATAATAAAATATAATACATTATATAAATATGAATGTATGTTTGTATATGTGTGTGTTTTAAATGCAAAAGAACGGAAAAATTATTTAAAAAGAAAATTCAATATTGTTAAAGATGCGATCATTGTAAAATAAAAATTTTATTTTTATATACGTTAATGTATATTATGTATGTTTGTATGAATGCATGTGTAATATAGATGGTATATAAATAGAAAATTAAAATTAAAATTTTTTTCTTCGTTAAAAAAAAATTTTTTTTTTCTAATATTATATTTTTTTCTTATTTAGCTTGTATACATATATTATTTATATTTACTCTTCATATATGATTTTAAAATTAGATTTCTTAAAACGCCATCTAATGTTTAAATAATGAAATATAAAAATTTAAATGTCAAATTTAAAAGATTTGGATTTCTTTTAAGTCTATAATTTATTTTATTTTTTTCTTTTTTTAATTTATACGTTTTTTTCTTAATTCAAATTTAATTAATATCACTAAATTTATAATTTATATTATATATATATATATTTATATTTTAAATAATAAATTAGAACTCTTAGAAGAAACACATACATACAATTAAAATAATATGTATGATCAAATACACACACATGTTCACGTATGTTTAACATACATTTTATTATATTACCCAAGAATATACATATATATGTATATATATATATATGTATATATTCACATATATACATTGGTAATTTGAAAAAAAAAAATAATTTCAATATATTGCATTTAGAATTTGCACATATACACATATCATATAACCTACAATATTTTTATAACATACTTATAAGTTTCTGAGAATATAATATGTATATATGTATATATACGAAAAAAAAAAATTTATTTATAATATTGAGCAAAAAATTCATTACTAAAAATAGAAACATTATGTATAAAAGATTTTTTTTTTTTGTAATTTTTTTTTTTTTTGTTAATTTTATATTAGAAAGATATTTAGTAGCCCTATATTTAAATTTATTTTTTTTTTATTTTATGAAAATTTTTTAATTTAAATCAAATAATTTAGTTGTTATACTAAATTTTTTAATATAATTTAATTTAATTTTGTGTTTTGCATAAGTATTTTTTAGAAAAAAAAAATATTTTATTAATTTTCACTTTTATTTTAAATTTTCAATTTATTTTAATTTGTTTTTTTATTTTAAATAACTTCAACTTTTGTAACATAAACTTCTCTTTTTTTGTTTGTTTTTTTGCTATTCACTTCTGCTATTCAAATTCTCCTTCATTTTACAAAAGTTTTCTGATAAGTTTTTAAATTATATAAAAAAAAAAAATTTATATTTTTTTAATTATTTCACTAAAATTTTTTTTTTAGTATACATAAATTTTAAAATTTTAATTTTGCATATAAATTAAATTTTAGTTAAATTTTAATAAATATAGCAAAAAAAAAATATGTAGAAAGCAATTATGTAAAATTTATTATGTATAGAAAATTAGTAAAGCAGCCTTGCACAAAAAAAACCAAGAATAATTAATTTTATTTTTTTAATTGATGATAAAAGATAAATGAAACTCATAAAAATATTTTTTTTTTTTTTATTAAATTTTTAAATTGATTTAAACTTTTTTTTTTCTCTTATTTAATTAATTATAATTACATTCTTTTTTTTTTTGTAAATAAATAGAAATGAAATTAAAATTTTAATTATTTAATAATTTTTTTTTTTTGTTTTATTTATTTCTCGGAAATAAATTTTATTTTATTTCTTTTTAATTTCATTCAAAATTATATTTGAAAATTTTGTAATTTATAAACTCATGAGTTTCATTTTAAAAATGGAGGATAGCAACGCAATTATTAAAATGTATCGAATTAATAAAATCGATTACATAAATACCAAGTTGAAAACAAAAAAAATCAATAATTATTTAATTGAAATGTTGGTTATTATTATTTTAAATGATGACAGTTAATAAAAAAAAAAAAAATTTTTTTTTTTTAATTTTTTTTGCAATTATCTTTGCTTTTTTTTTATTTTTCCTTAAATCATATTTTTTTTTTTCGTAAATATATATACATATGTATTATTTTATGTATATATATATATATATATCCTTTTATTATATTAATTGATTGATTTACATATTGATTTTTGATGAGCGAATTTATTATCCTTTTTAGTTGCGATATCTTTTTTTTTTGCTCTTTTTTTTTTTTTTGATCTTGCCTTACTATTATTATTATTATTATTATATATATTCTATTAATTTTGTGCTTTTTAAGACTTACTCTAGGAAAACAAAAAAAAAAGAATTTATTTTCTTTATAAAGTCCGGCAGCTGACGTCGTCGGAGCGAATGCTGCGGTTCAACTAAACTGTCTGACAGCGGAATAAGAATCAATATTTGAAATGAAAATTTAAAAAGAAATTTTTGAAAAAGAAAAAAAAAAGAAATAGAATTTTTATCTTTTGACGAGGTGAAAAAAAAAAAAAGAAAAATAATCAAAGAAAAGTAAAAATGATGAAGAACAAAAAAAAAAAAGAAAGAAAGAAAATTAAAAATAAAACGTATGCGTAAGAGAAAATTTCAAAATTTTCATCTGTATTTAAAAATTTTATTTTTATTTTCTTATTTTTTTATTTTCTTGGTTTTTTTTTTTTTTTTTTGGTTTTATATTTTCATAAGAATTTTGATATTCAGGGAAAAAAAATCTTTTCAATAAAAACAATTGAGATTTTCTTTCCCTAAAGAGAAAAGTCTTTTATTTTTTGTTAATGACGCCTGATTATATGCAATTTTTGTTAATATGTCATAGTGATGTCATTATTAAATAAATGTGTGTGACGACTATTGTATATGTACATCTAAAATATATGGAAAAAATTAAAAAAAAATCTTATTAAAAAGCTTTGTATTGTTATCCTACCTATATGGATAGTTTATTTTGAAAGTGACCTAAGTGTCTATTTTAAATCAAAATATTGACATTATTTGAAACTTATATATGGATTTACAGTTACCAAGAACTTGTTTAACTGGTATATTATTTTCAAATCCAATAATATATGTAAGTTTCAAATCCAACTATATCGATATTATCAATGCTTTCGAATAGGCTAAAATAAACAATTCAAATAGAGAAAATTCGGAAACATTTTTATTATGTTTTCATTAAATCAAAATATATTATAGAATTTAAGATGATAATATCAATTATTGAATTATATCAATAGTTTATATTTTTTTTTAATAAAATTTACTTATTTATTTACTTAAATTCCATTATTTCCAATATTTCTTAATACAAAATCAAAAAGAAAAATTTCACATTGTTTAAACTAGTCTTTATGGAAAATTTTTTTATACTTCATACTATATATATATATAATCAAATTGCTATTAGCGGAATAATATCTTGAAATTTATTATAGAATTTCTTTTATTCAAAAATTGAATTTTGTTAATTATTTTAATTTTTAATTTTCAATAATGATTTTGTAATAAGATAATAAAATAGTTTCTAAAAAATTAAAATTCATAAAAATCTATGTGAAAAATTCTAAATGTAAATTAAATGATTTTAATGCGCTTTTAGAATAAGAACCATGTTATTTAACAAATATTAATATTAATTTTTCCATTATACATTCGAAACCGCTTAACAAACGTTGTTATATCTTTTATAGAAACGTGAGATTACTGGTGTCATTTTATATTCTTTGATTTGATCTTTTTATTGACTTTGATACATTGGTATACTTCATTGGTACAACTAAATTAGTTTAAGAAATATATTGGTTTTTATTAATTTTAAAAATTTTATCTTTGAAAGTTTTGCATATCACTCTTATATATTTTGGCCAAAAGTATAATAAAAGTTTCTTGTTTCATTCTAGATAGTCTATGACATCAAAAAGTATGAAATCATTATTTAGAAGCAAAAACAATAATAAACAAAAGCAATTTTATTTTTTTAATAGCACATTGACAGTATAAAAGGGGATTTATGCTGACTTGTCAGAAGGGGATAAAAATTTTTAATATATTTTTATAAGCTAATACCAAAAAGCGATGTTCATATTTACACGAATTTTTTATACAATTAATTAAAGACGATGCAATTAAATGATAATAGATATATATATATATACAATTTAATAGTGATAGATAATTGTCTCAGTTTTTCATTTCCAAGAAAAGGTGAAATGCGTGGACCAATTAACTGAGGAAAACTGTAAAATTTTCATGAGATTATAAATATAGTTTCACTAAAAATATTTGAAATAAATAATAATTGAGTACAAAATATCACTACAATTCCAATGTCCAGAGGAATTCATTATTTTTTATAGAATACACCATATAATACTTATACTTATATATACTGTTACTTATATATAACAATATTTAGAATACACATTCTGTAAAAAATTACAAAATGTTTCACAATATATGAAATGAAACTAAAAATATACAAATGTACATATGCATATACATTTAAGAGAAAAAAAAAGAAATTTAAGGAAATTTTCTTTAGAATTTTTTTTTGCATACAATTTAGATATAATAAAAAAGAAATAATATGTTGCTTAGTACATTCATACATATATATATACATACAAACAATTTATATAATATATAAAATGTATATGCACATACATTTTTATATGTTATACATTAAAATGATTTTTAAAAATTTTCGTCTTTTTTTAACATAAACTCCCAGATTTTATGAAATAATTTTTATGTTTTTAAAAATGAAAGAAAAAAAATAAGAGAAAAGAAAGAGTAAAAACGAAAATGAAAAAATTTTTTTTTTTATTTTTGTCTAGTTTTATATTTTTTTTTTTTTTTTTTTTTTATATTTTATTTTCACATTTTTTTGTTTTCTTTCTTTTTAATGAAATACTATGTAGGTGTGAGATATGATATCGGTCCTGTCCATAAGTATATATAAATAAACATTTTCGGCAATATGTACATTAACAATCGCAATGTACAATTTTACATAATATAATAATGTAAAAATATTATAAAAGCATTTATACAATATATGAAATTTAAGAAAAAAAAAAAAATTTAATATTTTTTTTCTTCTTTTGTTTCGTTTTGTTTTTCTTGTTTCGTGGCAAATAAGATCGAGAGGAAAATTTATTTTCTCTTTTCGCATCTTATATACATACTCGTACAAATATTTCTTTGTTGTATATAAGTATATATAAAATTCATAAATATATTTATTTAGATATTGATATGTATATATAAAAAAAATATAGGTTCATTCCTTATTTAACAATTTGTATATTGTTTAATGTTTATGCATATATATATATATAACAATATATATATATGTATATATAAGCTTCCGTAAATGCATAATTAAATTAATATTATAAATATGTTATTTCAATATTACATTCACAATTTTATAAATATAATATATATATATACATATATATATTATTGAGCAGATCATTTATTGCATTTAACTTAAATAATGTTATATATGTATATATATATATATTGGCAACCCTGCAGTACCTGATGGTCTAACACCAGAATAATTATTAGTAGGTATGGGTATTAATTTTATTATATACATGGATATACGTACATGGGCATATATGTATATATATGCACTCTATATTTGACTTTTATATATAAGTTTAAGAAAGCAAATCGTATATTATATACATATAAAAATTAATATTGTACATATTTAATTAAAAATACCTAATTAGAATGTGAAAAAAAATTAATTAAAAATTTATTTTCACCACAATGAAATTTTTTTTTTTTTCAAATTCTTTTTTTAAATTCATTTGATTTAATAAGTCATTTTAATATTATGACTTATTAGATTGTTTTTTATTATGTATTAAAAATATATAATACTTAATAAAAATTTTTTTTTTTGGACTTTAATTTCCGAATATAAAACATAAAATTCGCATAAAACTTAAACTTTTTTTTAATAAAAAATAAAGATTTCTGATTTAGGGATTTTTTCAATTTTTTGACATTACTCCATAATCATTATACCAATTAAATTAATTAAGTACAAGTTGAGAAAATTTAGGGGATTTGGTGGATAATTCAGACATCCGGTAAAAGTTCTAAATTAAGTTTTAAAAGTCGTTTCATATAAATACTTACAAATCTTCAGATTACTTTCACAGATTTGCAACATATACGAATATTTTTTTAATACTCGTATACGAGTACAACATTTTTCGATTATATGCTCTTCTTATAATTTATAATATTTTTGCAATATATATACATAGTTATATTGAAAAACATAGAAATTTCTTTAGAATTTTAATCACAATTATACAATTTTCGAATATACATTTTTTTGCAGATTTTGCCGGTTAGATTTATTGAACGTGTAGTTTATATTAATACCTAAGTTAGAACTGAATTATAAGAAATCCCTATATACTCGTAGTTATAATCACATTTTAATTCAGTAGATAGCTTTGAATTTTAAAAATGAAAGATAAAAATATAATAAATCTGAAATATTTGAAATAAAGGTCAAGTTTTTATTCAATTATATACAAAATACTGTAAAATATCTGAAATGGTTTAGAATTTCAAATATGCATATATATTCTTAAATATAGAACACAAAAAAAAAAACAAATAATTTAAATATTTTCTGCATAATTTTAAAATTATAAATTTGCAATTTAAACATAATTTTTTATAGGAACGGTACTATATGTACATATACAGAAATAATTATACTATAATGGTTTTAAAATCTAAAATAATAAAAATTCTGAAATATGTATATATGTACATATACATATGTACATGCATTTATAGGAATAGAAAAGCACTTTTTGTATGTGCTTGCTAAAATACAAATATTACCGAGAATATAATATATAAATATATATATATATATATATATATATATAAATATATATATATATATATATATATATGAAACAACGATAATTAACATTACATATGTACTAGGTATAAAGTAAATTTTTTCTTTTATTTAATATCAATTTTGAAATTAATTTTTTTTACGTTTTGATTATAATACGAAAATTTATGATCCTATACTTAAAAGTGAATAAATAAATTTTTGTATACATAAATTTTAATAAAGTTAAATACAATATACAAAAATATAAAAGTCTATGAATAAATTTGCAAAAATTATTAAATTAATTATACAAAAAAAATATCACACGAGTTTATGGAGAAAAAATCATTTATGTTCAGTATTAGAAAAACTTACTTTAGTAAACTTATTTTAGTGAATTATTTTGATCACATACATGAATATTAGGAATAACCTCACAAATTTCATAACGTATTCATATCTAGTAATTTCATTTTGAAAGGGTGACTTAATATCCTGGTCTATTTGTAATAAATAATAATGAACTAGTCAACCAATCTAATATTCAACAATTTATTTCTAAATAATTTCATAAGTATACTTGAAAGTGTACGAATAAGACTGTTTTTTTTTCCAAAATTAATAAAAAAAATTTTTTCTTCGTGCATATTTACATGAATATAACAAATTTATAAAGTGAATATTAATCACAGCTCAATTTCGAATTTATTATAATTATATTCATATATATATGTTACTTATTTAAAGATAAATTTAGTTAAATAATTAATATTCTTTAAATATATACATATACATATACTAACATATATACTAAATATATATACTAAATATATACAACAATACTAAGTATATACAATTTTAAGAAAAGTAATTTATACATAGTTTCCGTAATGAACAAAATATTTTATTTTAATAGATTTAGGTCCAACTATATATGTTTTTCTATATGAAATTTTCGAAAAAAAAAATATTTTATCACACATACAATCATCATGTAATCATTGTGAACCTACATAATATATTATACCTACTTATTTTTGAAACAAAAAAATAAATTTTCAACTTTAAATAAAAAAAAAATTAAGAGAAAAACCTATTTAATTTTTGTTTATGTAGTTTAAATTAAAATTTCTTTTTGTTATATATATAATTGTATAACTATATAAAAGAATTTCAGTAAATATTTAATATATTCCCTAATTTTGTATAGAAGAAAGCAAAAAATAAAATTAAAAATTTTACTTAAATTTGTTATAATAATTATGTGCATTTAGCCCCACCATTATGTTCATAAACCCAGAATAGCTCTTTAATTTATATTAATCATCTAATTCGGTCATCTTTTTGAAACTTAATTGAAAATTCATTTTGTTGTTAAACTATATATTCTAAAAATATAAATTAGATGATATATAATATAATATGTAGGCAAAATATACAAAGGAAATTATTCGAATAAATATACTTACGAACATATTAATGTACATACGAGTATACATATGTAGATTCTATGTAGACGACATACATATGTACTTATATTTATAATCACAAAAATGCATTATTTAGTTTTGTATTAATAATTTAATTTACAAATTATTTTAATTAAAATTGAATTGATGTAAAATATATAATAATATTCTATTCCATAATAAATTAAAAAAATTCATAATACAATTTAAATTTTAATTATCTATAAAATATATTTTTGTTTTATGTATACATTAATTGATGATTATTATGTAAAATAAAAAGATAAAAATTATTATATGACTTATGATTTTTATATATTTTTTTCATTCTTTTTTTATTTGAATATGAAAGATGATTAATTATAACATTTATAATTTTAAACATTTGCAAAAATCCAATAACAGGTGTTTCATTTAAAAAATGTCATTTAATTATTTTGATATGTCGGAAATGGTATAACGGATAAATATAATGTAAGTATGTATGTATGCATATATGTATACAGTATACTATAATATAAATAAAATATAATATTTAGACATAAATATATTTTTGTATGTATATAGCAAACAAAGTGTATATCAGATGGCCAATAGATGTCACCCTTTTTAAAGGTTAAGAACAAAAGATTCATTTTTATTATACTGGGGTATCTACCCAAACTTTAACAATATTATTATTTAATTTGTGATATGTAATTAACAAAAAAAAAATTTTTTAATTGAAAAATGTTTATTTTAGAGCGTATTCGTTATATTCGATTATTTACATACATATGTAAATACATTTATATGGATATAGAGAAGAAGAAATGGGACACCATGTATACTATTTCAAATTCAATCACCAAAGTTCTAATCACTAACAAAATAGTTTATGAATTTTAACTAAATAATTAAAATTTAAAATAATTTTATATTTTTACAAATTACAATAATTATACTATAATATTAAGGCTCAAATGTTTGTCATAGAATCAAATTATTAATAGATGAAATGCACTCATAGGCAATATAATAATCATTTTTTATAACTTTAACTAATTGAAAAAATACTTCTCTAAATAATGTAGTTGTGAAAGTTTATTAATCAATTGTAAATAAAAATATAGTAATTAAAGAAGAGCTAAAAGCTAAGTTGTATACATGCAGCACTCTGTCCCTGATGTAACTTACTAAGAAAGACGAATGGATAAAAATGATCATTTCAAGTTTATAAAAGCCTTAAAATGCTTTTTGGAATTCAAATATTAATATAATTTTATTTAAGTTTAGTTGCTTAATACCTATAAGCTAAAAATTGCATGTCTGCTAAAGATTTAAAGAAATCATTTTGCTTAATTTTTTTTCAGAAGTTGAAATTTTGATTTAATTTCTGTATATCTTAGAGAAGAAAATCTTTTCAAAAATCTATGTATGTACTTTTTATTTTGTTGGTCAAACTGATCTTTTTCGTAGCTTTTCTTCAATATTGTCTACATATCAGAAGAAAAATACATACATGCATACATACAGTAATTAATGAAATTTCATAAAAATCTTTATCTCAATTTTTTTGTCACTTTCAAATCAAATCATTTTCTATTAGTTAGAATTCCAACATTTTAACAAGTTTTCGGATTTTTTTTAACAAGATTACTTACTCACCTATTGAACGTAATTTTCACATCTTTATCTTCAATAATTTATAGTGTAAAATTGTAAACCATATAAATGTAAACATGTACATGTATATATATATGTATTGTGTAAGTAAAGCATTTGCATATTGCAACCTTCAAAAACTAAATTGACTGAATCAAAAAGAAGAGAGTTGAGTATTTTATGACAAAAAGAGTTACAAAATATTATTCTTACTTATAAAAATGTACCTACATAAAACTCAAAAAGAGGCCTAGTATGATTTCCCTGAAATTTCATGAAATTTTGCTTGGAAAAGCTGATTTTAGTTTCTGATCACTACTTAACATTATCAAATCAATAGTATATTCTTTTTCTTAAAATCAAATTCTGAAAATTTAAGAAAAAACAGTCAGTTCAACGCTGAAAGCTTTTCACTATACAACGGAACTTTTTACAGAATTATGAAAGAAACGATTTTTCTGAGATGTCAAATTTCACTTAGATAATGTAATCAAATAACACTTCAAGAAAAAAAAATTAATTAGAATTTTTACTTAGGTTGGCTACATTTGTTTGACAACTTTATAAGTCTTCAATGATTGTGATTTTGTGTTTATAAATGTATTGATTTGATGACCGGGGTATCTAAACAAAAATAAATAAAAATATTGAAGTTATTTAAAAATTATTTTAAGCTTTTAATTAAAATGTTAGTTAGTATTATGATAAATAGAATAAAATTGGTATTACTTTTCATTTTGGGTTTGTTTAAACGGGCTATGTGTTGCTTTTCAAGAAGAAGAAAATCATCATGTTCCGAAAATTTAGAATCTGTCAACGTAATCATACATACAAATGCAGATTATTCCCCTAGTAAACAAAATAATCAGGTGATAAAAAAATAAAAAATTATATTTCAATTTAAATTTAAAAAATGTTAATTTAAGCCTGAACGGGATTGGAATTCATGGGATGACAGTCCAAGAACAATCGAAGAACACATCGAGCAATATAGGTAAGTGAAATAAACTTTTGTGAAATTTTTCATTATTATGATTATGTATTGTTGCAGACAAAAATTAGTAAGACCAGCAACGCCAAAAGATTTAGAACCTGAACCAGATTTCTTTACTGTAAATATTGAATTTTTATTATTTTAATTTAAACTTATATATGACCAAATTAAAGGATATGGCACCAGCTATTAAACCACAGCCAGTTTATTATTTGGGTAACAGATCTGAAGAGCACAATTCCAATTTTTCAAGATTGGAGGCTAAACTTGATATTCCTGTAACCATAGCAGTAATTGCATATAGTATTTATGTAGATTTAAAAACAAAAATCACTTTTATATAAAATATTTCAGGCTGATTTAGAAGATTGGAATGAAGAGAATCCACAAGATGGGGGTTGGGAAGAACTAGACACTGAAACTACAAAAAAATTGATTCGTGAAAAACGAAAAGAAATGCGACATCAAAGACAAACTAAACAATCAAAAAATTCATTTAATCAAAATCAAATATTCGCTGAAAGGATAAAAAATAATTATTCATAGTATATTCTTTATGAAAAATACTAATAACTGCAATATTGATACTATTTTATTTTACTTTAGTAACTAAATTAAAAAGACAAAAATATAAGAAATATAAGAGTATTCTAATATTCTGTAGTTAAAAGAGAAAATAGTTTCAGCGATTTTATTTAAATAAATTAATTAAAATATTTAACATTGCTTAGCGAAATTTTTTTCTATTATTTGACGAAAAAAGTGTTATGTTGAAGAAAATTAAGTTAAAAAAAAAATTTTTGAAAAGAAAACAACTGAAACTGAAAAGATTTCTTCGATACAAAATTTGTTACAGAAAAAGAAAACTTAATCAGTTTCAGCAAATAGTTTTAATTGGCTAACCAGTTTTTTTTAACTTATATAAGTAATACATATTTGCTTTTTCCTTATATATCAATTTGTTATTTTATTATTGTGTATAATATACACTGTGCGTTGAAAAATAAAAATTGTAACAATTTGTTTTTCCTTTTTTTTTATATTTTATAAAGAAAAAAAAAATAGATTAAGCTGTAAAAGATACGCTAGAAAATAAAATAGATGTACAAAAAAAACTTTAATTTATGATACTTTATTAAATTAAAAATTACAGAACAATTTGAAAACATATGCTCATAATGATTAACATTTATACAAAGTAATATGTGAATATTCTGATTTGAACTAAAAGCATGTCACAAATATTTTTATTTAAAAAAAAGTAAGCTACTTAAAATTTTTTAATCTCGTTTAATACAATTCAAATCTGTTCAACGAATTTGTACTATATTTCTTGAAAAACTATCCTTAACAGAGTTTAATTAAAAAAATTGGATTTAACACAATTTTTTGAAATATTTAAGCAAAATATTTGAAAATAAAATAAATTATTAATTAAATTAAATTTCTAGTATGGATTCTATCATACAGTATAAAACAATATCACAAATCAAAACAGGAAATTACTTTGAAAGATGTTTCATCCTTAAACACAAAAAATAACATATATATTTTTATTTCGTGTACGAAAACCTTAGATCTAAGAAAAAAAAACTCAGATTCTGTTTTATATATGTATGAACTTAACAAGCACTTAAATAACTTTTCATTTTTAAGAGTTCATTCGTGGATGTTATCTTATATAAATATATTTAGATCAGTTTCCATATCCGAGCATTTTTCATTAAACCTGGTTTAAATATGTAGTTAACCATAGAAATGTAAAAATACTGAAACTGCTTGGCAATGGAATGGAAACAGCCTACAGGATTTTACGCTATGACAAAGTGTTATAAAAAGTATATGGACGTAAACATACATTTAAATTAATTTTAAAAAGATAACACAAAAATGAAAGCTATTTTTCTTTTAAAAATGGGTTTGGGCAGTATTGTGGTTTTAAGTGTATCATTAATTTATATCAAAATAACAAATTTCCTCTTTCTCACATTTTTTTTGACAACATTGAAAACTACAATTGAAAGTTTTAGTAAAAATTATAAGTCAATATTTTTAATTATATATAATTGTTTATGAAATCATCATAATATAAATGGTATTGAAAATAAAATAATTATTTTAAACTTGTCGTGCCATTTATGTTGAAATGGGGAACGGGTACATACATATATGACTTTTGTTAAGTGGACAATACTCTTCTGAAATCGAATTTTTCTTGAATTATGTTTTAATGTTATTATTAGCATGTAGAAAGCAAATCAAATTTTAAAATAAGTGTTCAAAACAAATTAAAGTGTTCAACCAAGTAAAGGAAATTGAAAAGCAATAATTAAAAATATAAAACTTTTTAACCTATTGATATATTTTAAAATATACTATGTAATTTTTTAAAAACAAAATTTTTTTTAAATAAAAATCAGGAATAATAAAGTGTTACAATTATTTTTTTTTTAATATTTTTTTTGTGAAAAACTGAAGCTAAAACAAATTAATTAATAAAATGCCTTTTCGCACATAATGAATTACAATTTTCTGGGACATTCTTTATTGAAATATTTTTCTTTTAATATTCATTTCAATGTTTTATACATGATATATGTATATATGCGCATATATATATATATATATTTATATATATACAAGCACGATTTATAACTTTATGAATTCTAAAATCGGGATTTTTAAAAATTATTACAGTAATTTATCTTTCCCGTTACTTATTTAGTGTATGTAACTTTTTTATGTGTTTTCGTTTTTTTTTCTATTTTTTTTTGTTTAATTTTAGTTTTTAATTCATTAAAGTCCTTATACTTAAATTTACAATACAAAAATAAAAGACACAAATTAATCAATAAACAGAGGTTATACTTAAAAAAAATTAGTTTAGTTATTTTAAACTTAAGGTAAACGAATGATTTTATCTGATAAAACTATAATCTACATTGAGTTAAAATTTAATCCTTGTAAGTTCATTGCTCCAGAATTAACATTTACTGAACCAGTGTCCGTGTACCGTTGCCTTGACATTGAATGAATTCCTGTAGTGGTTTGAAATTCAGAAATATGTCGCGTATCCAAAAAACTCATAACCCCCATATGTGTATGAGGCGTACACATTATGGGCGTTGGTGTTTCAGATGGTGGCGGTACTTGTATGTTTAAAGCTGACTGATTTAGATGTTCATAATTTTCAATACTAGTTTCTTCATTTGTTGGTGTTGATGGTGGCTGCGGTGACATATTTGGCTCTAATTTAATACGATTTTTTATACTTGGTCGACTAATTAAATAACCTCTTTTCTTATATTCTAACCATAACGTACGATTGTTAACACCATATATTCGAGCTGCTTTACAAAATCCAATACCACCGGTGCGTACTGCTTCCAAAGCTTTAATAAAATTTTCATCCGCTTGTGGATTTACTGAACGTTTTCTTTTAACAACCGAGGATGATGTACCTTGCTGCTGCTGCTGTTGCTGCTGTTGTTGCTGCTGTTGTTGCTGTGCTCCGCTTGTTCCTGATGTCCCTATTATCATCGATACATTATTACCACCTGTAGAGCTATTACCTGATGCATTACTTCCTGAAAAATTATTTGAATTTGACGAATTTTGTATTGAACTGTTTAATGAAGTATTATTAGCAGTGGGGGTGGATGCTATTGAGGCCGCAACAACAGCCACTGTTGAAGTAGCATTTCGAGTAGATGAGCTGGATTGAGAAATTTGATGGGATACTGGAGACGGTGTGGGCGTCGGCCCTTGGCTATAAACCGATTGTACCATAGTTGATTCATTTGGTGACGTTGGAGTGGATATATTCTGTTGCTGTTGTGTTTGCTGCTGCTGTTGTTGCTGATGTTGAGAATATCCACCCACTAAATTGTTAACAGAAATAATTTGAGATGAATATTGTGAATCTTGATAGGGAATTTGAATGTGGCCTTGTTGCTGCTGATTATTTGTTACAGAATTATTTGCCGTTGGCTTTTGTGGATTTGTAGAATCATTAGCATGATTTTCATTTCCATCATTGTTTGAATTATTTCCACTATCTTGATTATCATTTCCAGCTCCATTACCTGATAATGACATCCCAGATTGGCATGACGATAAGGAAAATCTAGGGTTATAGCTAGAATCAACAACTGTCCATTGCACTCCAGAATGAGCCGATTGCGGCTGAGAGCTAACCCTTGTTGTACCATAATCTGATGGTGACGTTGCACCAGAAATATCTTGCTGCATCGTTTGCTGTACTCCTATATCATTTTCTGGTTTAATATGGTGTTGGTGAGAATCAATATCTTCTAATGAAGCTTCTTGTTGTTGATCGGATGTAGATATTTCTTTCACAATCTTTGTATGTAAAGTTTGGGTTACATTCGTATTATTACTAAACGGTATTTGATTTATCTGATTTAAATTTATATTAGTTGACTGATCGATATTACAATTTTTATTATTTATGTCGACTGTCTGCCCATTATTTGAAGTTTTCCTTGCACGTTTTTTACGGGATACTGGCGAAGATATAGAGCCTGGTGAAGGAGTTCTTCTTAATTGATGAAGACTTTGGGTTTGATTGCCTTGTTGTGGATTCCCATGCAAATGATGTTGTGACTGTTGTTGTTGCTGTTGTTGTTGCTGCTGTTGCTGCTGTTGTTGCTGCTGCTGCTGCTGTTGCTGTTGTTGAAATTGTGATTCAGCGTTACCCCATAACGAATCAGTACCTAAACCTCCACCTCCCTGCAACTGATCTGTGTGATCAACTTTATTATCGGATTTTGTTAGTGTTGCAGCATCTGCAGGCATTTCAGCTAAACCTTTTATTTTTAACATTTCTGCTGTTTTTAATATATGCGGAAGTTGTTCTTGTGAAACATTTACTTCACCATAGTACATAAAATCAACCATTGTTTTTAGATCGTTATACTGAACATCTTTTAATATTACTATTGGATGCTTACACGGATTTGTAGTGAACAATGTTTGAAAATACGAGCTGCAAGCTGAAAGAACAATTTTATGAGCTTGTAACTGCTTTCCTTCGGCAGCTAATGTAACATCTACTAATGTTCCATTATGTAGTAGAGACGAACAAACAGATATAAAATTCGGTTGGTGATTATTCCATCGCAAACAAAATTGCTGAACCGACATTTTTCTTTTAATGTGCCAAAATATAACTTTTACCCTTAAATAAGTTATTAAAGTAAACTTATAAAATACACTCCATAATTTTTAAATGATTTTTTTGCAATATATTTTCTCACTAATTTACTTTATTTGTTCTATTATGCTCGATAGAGCTTTTTTCACGTCAAAATTTTAACGTCATTTTCTTCAAGCACAAAATGGAGGCGATTATAATCTGTCACATACGGTGTTCTTCCCACTTCTTAAATAAACGAAAAATAAAGATAAAATTTTCCAAGTGATTCTGAAAGGTCTAAAATTTTAATATAGAGGTATAACCCTTTAAATATTTGTATGGAATAATAAATATTATGTATATGTATGATGTATACATATATTATCTTTCAGATCTTAATTTTATCATAACATACATCAACATATATCAAGAACAAAACTATTGCAACCCAAAGATTACGTTCCATATTGTATGCAGGAGCCCTGTAAAAAGCATTCATATATTAAAAAATACATTGGAAACATATAATTATAAAATGATCATGAACGCGCAGAAATTATGATACACGATTATATTATAATTCCCAAATTTGCAAATTACGTTTACGATAGTCGATATTTGGTATCGATTTCATTCAAAAGGAGAATATCGATTAACCAATATTACTTCCAATATTACATATTGCAAAGTATTTTAAATTTTGTAGGAAAAAATGCTTTAAAGGTATATACTTTGATATGGATGAAAGAATTAAATTTGACACCAGATTTGATCAAATAATGCTTGATGTGTAAACAGGATTTCTCATCCAATTTTATAGTTGTCAAATTTTGCTTGATATGTAAACGGGGTCTCACAACTAAAATGGCGACAATATATTTTTGTATAAGTTTGAAACAACAACCAGGTGATTTTTATTTTGGTTAAAATTTTAAAATTTGTAGCAAATCTTAATAATTTTGACGTAAAGGCTCATATAATTTCAGCCTGATATGTGAACTCATCAGATTTTATCGTAGATTTAGTTCGAGATTTTATCGTACATGTATATAAAATTTATAATTATTAACTTAAGAAATCCGACAGAATGGAGTCAAATTTTTTGTTATTTGCTGTCAGACAAAGTACACGACATTCATTATAACTCAGATCAAATCGTTGATTTTGAAGCACATGTAAACATATGTAAAATTAATATCGTAAAATCAAACTTTTTCTGTGATTGAGGAAAATCGCCAAACATGTATCGTAATAAATAGCAAATAATTTTTTTTGCTATTTATTTCATTATTCAGAATAAAACCAAAAGCAAGATTCAAGCCAAGACAAAATACATTTGTTGCACCGGTCTAAAGAGAATTTTATATTGAAGCTGTGCACGGAGTGGATTTTATTTTGAAGTGTGTAACAAGGAAATGTTATCCCATGCAATTACATGAGTTACATATATTTTGTAACAAAATCAACTTCAAGACGGTCGGAGCGCTGGAGAATTCTTCCGGGGCTGCGGCAAGCCAAGGAGCTCCTGAGAGATTATGACCAGAAGCGATTTAAGAAAATTATAGGGATGGGAAAGAATCAGGTGAGAGTCCTCACCGGCATTTTGACGAGTCACTGTAGGTTTAGGGGACACCTCAGTCGGCTGGGCCTGGAAAATGAGGATACTACTGGGGGAATGTAATGCTCTTGCTCATAGAAGGGGGGAGGTGCTGGGGGGCTTTGCTCTAACAATGGCCGAGTTACGGTCTTCTGGGCCGGCCTTACAAGTAGCTTGAGTTCATCAGGAGGGTGGGTCTCGAGCGTGTGTTGTAGATTGTAGATTGTACCGTTGTACAAATTCACAATCTACAACAACTTTGTCTCATAAATACTTAAAATTCATATTAACATACATGAATGCGAAAAGATAAATTAATTGTTTCTGCTCATTAAAATATTAGATATTTTTATACGTGGGCACTCAATAAAATTTTTGTTTTAAGTTTCGTTTGTACTTAAATCTTTTTTCTCTACAAAAATTATTCATTAAATGCTATAGAATCTTTACTGTTATCCATTAGGGTGTTATTGTGACTTGACATATCAACTTCTTCATCATCATCGTATTCTATTTCCATTTCATAAATGCGAACTTTTTTACAATTATCAGATAAGATAGATGCGACCTACAAAAAAAAACTTATGTTTCAAAAATATAATCAAAAAAAAAAAATTACCTTTCTACTCCCAGAAACGGCAATGCCGTTGCAATTACCGTCAATGGGTTTAAAGTAATTTACGTCTAAAATATCCAAAATATGAACCCGTGGTAAATCATTAAATAAATTTATTTTGCTGTCTATGTTTCGAACAACACATTTGCTTTTTATAATATCAATTGGAAATTGAATAAAATAGTGTGATATCTTATTATCTTCAGAAATATCCTTTACAAGCATTGATAAAGTGGTTTCATTATAAAACTGTAAGTCTTTTAAATTCATATCATTAAAGACATTTTTATTTCCAAATGGAACACGTGTTGTATACGAAAGAGCTATATTTATAGCTCTTAATATATTTTCTTGTGGCAGCATTTCTATAAATATCAATTCTTTTTCTTTCACTGAAATTGCTAATAAATCTGATTGATTGAACTTGTTAATAAAAAAACTTGTTTTTATTAAGTTTTCAGGAAAATTGCTAACATCAATGATATTGCAATCTATCTCAGATTTTAATTTAAATAGTTCTCCAACACTTTCATTTGGTTTTATGAATACGTTGTGAATTGATTTTTTTAAAGCATTATGTTCTTGAATCAATGATGCATCTGCATGATGCGAAAATATATATTTTGACTTTTGTAAGCATTCATTTTCGTTCAGTAACTTATTCCATTGTTGTGAGTTATCACATTTTTGAGGAAAATTAATTTTTGAATCTTCCAAATATTGCCCAACACGTTCCAAATTGAATTTCCTTCTTACTTGAGTTCCATCTTCTAACAATAAAATAGTAAAATTAAAGCTTCGCAATATAAAATACTAACAAGCATTTTAAAAATACCTTTTTCAAAAATACAATCATCAAAATTGTTTAAAAATTCAGCTAAGTAAGTAATATCTTCTTGAGTTACGGCTGCAACATCATCAGGTAAAGGCTCGTCCAATAACCTCACAATAACTACTGATAACCAACACCAAAAGATTTTATAATCTGTTACGGATTGATCAATAGTTTGTTGTAACTCAAGAATTTTTAACAAAAACGAACCAGCTGAAGAAATTGCTTTTTCAGTTGTATCAACGGTAAGAAAATCCTAAAATTGTTATATCATTGATTGATTAAAATAAAAATATCTAAACATTGGATTATTACTTTGTAAAAATATGTGTTTTCACTGAGACCTTTAATTGTATTTAAATGGAAAAATAATTTTACAGCGGCGCTATGCAAGGGTTTTACAACTAAATTTTGAATAGTTGAATAACTTAATTCAATAGAAGTTCCCAATTTTTTAAGCCCTTTTTCAGTTAAATCCCTTGTTAGAAATTTTTCTAGTTCAGGAGTTGCTACACCGAACATTAAAAGTTCCAAAAAATCAGCTGAAATTGTACCTTCTGGCTGAGAATTAGCATACTTTGTTAGTTTGTTGTCCATTTCTAATAATACTGTCTCCCAAGCTTCAACAATACATTGAATTGTTTCCTTTATATAGCTTAAAAATAGACATGTACAAAAGTTACTAATTAAACAAATCCACCAATCATTAGATATTTTTACCTCAAGGTTTCTAAAATATGCCCATGTTTTCTTGCTAAATTTAGTAATGGTTTTATGTATTTTGATAAAACATTGTTTTTAAATACAAGTATTTTTATTTGTAAACCGTCTTTAACAAAAAGAATAATTTCATCAAAAGTTGATCCCATTTGGACATCTAATATTTTATAATCGTTTGGAGTTTGTAGGTGTTTTTTAATATCAATTGTACCACATGGTAGCACACCCAAAACAGAAATACAAATTTCACCAGTAACTAAACTTATTATTAGGAAAGAGGGTGACCCCTTTGAAAAATTTATTGTGTTTCTCCTCGCTGATGAAGACAAAGAATTTAAATTTGGCAAAGGCGGTAAATAATTTTCATAATTTAACTAAAAATAAACATTTTCAATATTTTGTTAAAAAATAAAAGGATGTAAAATATTTAAGCAATTATTTCATACATCGTTTTTGGAGTCAAAACTATCTGCATAATCTGAAGTAGAAACTGGTTTTGTCCAATGTAATGTTTCAATTTCATAATTGAGATCAAAACTATATATTTCATCGTCTTTTTCTACATCAAAAAGCACAACTTTTCCATTACTATATGCTAAAAATTAAAATATCATCGTCATATTTGGAATTCATGCATAGAATTTCGCATATTCACCAACTGCGATTATTGTTTCATCTGGTTGCCACGAAATAGCTTTAACATTGACGTTCTCAATCGATGGTAAAAAAGTACAAATTTTTTGCCAATTAAGCCGTTGAATTATTACTTCAGCTTAAAATATTAGAAACACAATCATTTGGTATTCTATTGGTAATAAAATACATATGTAGATAGTAAAATGAAAAAAAAACTAAAATTTCAGTATACATAACAAGTAGTTTATGCACCATAAAAATAAATATTTAAACCTTTATCATTGCTAACTATTGCAATGAGATCCATTTTGTTACTCCATTTCATAATATTTACGCGAAAGCCCATGTTCCGCGCACTTATTTGTTTCATTGAATTTATTTGAGCCATTCTAAAAAATATTTTCCAAATTTTATTTTCTAAAATACATATAACATTTTTGCCGGTGCAATAGACCTATTACAAAAATAGACTGGCAGTACAAAAAATATTAAATATTACTTAAACTATTTGGAGTTCAAAATGAAAACATTACTTTCCCTTTAAAGAGTCTTTCTTCACTGCCAGGCTATTTAACTAAGAGGTTTATTGCCGGTGCTAATAATTAATAAACAAAAATATGACATTAAGAAAGAAAACATTGACAACTAAAAATCTTCAAAATATCGATCAATTCAAATTTAATCGTCAAATTTTATTTTATTTCTACCGCTAAATTAGACTATACTATAAAAAATTAAGAACACTCTAAGGACACTCTAATATATGAACGGAATTTTATCCAAACTTCAGCATTTTTTTGGACAGTACTAAGTTCAACTTCTTATTTTAATTTTTTCACTCCATTCTCTTTTTTTACTCAAATTAGAGAGAAATTTCGTTTACTAGTCAACTAACACAAAAACAACTTAATTATGTGAATTTAATTCAAATCAAATGTGACAGTTGTCTTTTTCAGAATAATTTGCAGACTGTTGGTTGACCATTTTTCTAAAAGGAATTTTTTTAAAATTTGCTTCAGTAATATTTTAAATATAAAATAACGTTTTGAAGAAATGGCAGAGGTTTCCGAAGAAAAATTATCTAAAAAGTAAGTATTTGCATAATTAATACAAATATTGCAATTGTAAAAATTAGTGTCGTGTCAATATTTTGAATGCATCATTGAATTGGCAAGAATGAGAGAACTGATGAAATAATCATATGTCAAACAACACGTGCATAGTGCATTTGTTAATAAATTTTTAAATAAAAAAATGATAAATATTTTGAATAAGTCGAAAATTTTCGGAAGTATTTACTTAAATTTAAAGAGTAGGGAAGTTACAAAATTTTTTAGCAATTCAAAGTTGTTATATCAACCATCTAAAAGAACAAAACTGTAATGTAAATATGAAATATAATTCGGACCGCATTAATTTATTATAAAAATCTGTTTAATTTTTACAGTGAATTAAAACGTCGTCTCAAAGCAGAACAAAAAGCTAAAGAAAAAGCAGAAAAAGTCGCTGTTCAACCAGTACCCACTGCTAATAAAGAGAAAAAAATAAATGAAGAAGAAATCTCCCCGAATGAGTTTTTCAAATTAAGATCACTTGCTGTTGCTGAATTGAAAAAAGATCCAACAACCCATCCATACCCACATAAATTTCATGTGAGCATTTCTCTAGAGCATTTTATAGATAAATATAACAATTTGAAAGATGGAGAGCAACTAGAGGAAATAGTAAGCGTTGCTGGACGAGTGCATGCTATCCGTGAATCAGGTGCAAAATTACGCTTCTTCGATTTACGTGGTGAAGGTGTGAAACTCCAAGTTATGGCGAATGCCAAATTATATGGCAAAGAAGAAAACTTTGAGCCGGATTTAGAGAAAATTCGACGTGGTGACATTATAGGTGTTTCTGGGGTTCCGGGAAAAACAAAAAAAGGAGAATTATCAGTTATCCCTAAAGAAGTACTAATGTAACTATATGAATTAAGATAATATTAAATAACATTATACTTTTACAGGTAAAATTATTATCACCTTGCCTGCACATGTTACCGCATTTGCATTTTGGTCTGAAAGACAAAGAAACTCGATTTCGTCAGAGGTATTTAGACTTAATTTTAAATAATAAAGTTCGTCAGACTTTCCAAATTCGAGCTAAGGTATATTTTTAAAGCAATCCGATAATAATGATACAGTATAAATTTTTTTAAAGATTATTTCATACATACGGCAATTTTTGGACAAAATGGGATTTTTAGAAATTGAAACACCAATGATGAACATGATTGCTGGTGGCGCTACAGCCAAACCATTTATTACTCATCATAATGAACTTAATATGGATTTGTATATGAGAATAGCACCAGAATTATACCACAAAATGTTAATTGTTGGTGGATTGGATAGGTAAATTTTATTTTAATTCTTTTGTAAATTGACTTTACTATTTTTGTTTTAATTTAGAGTGTACGAAATCGGTAGACAATTTCGAAATGAAGGCATAGATTTAACTCATAATCCTGAATTTACAACTTGTGAATTTTATATGGCTTACGCAGATTACAATGACTTGATCAAAATTACTGAATCTATGGTCTCCGGTATGGTAAAAGCTATACATGGAACTTATAAAATTCAATACCATCCCGATGGATTAGAAGGAGATCCCGTTGAGATAGACTTTACGCCACCCTTTAAGAGAGTATCAATGATCAAAACTTTAGAAGAAAAATTAAATGTGAAATTCCCGCCAAATACCGAATTAAGTAGTAAAGCTACTAATGAATTCTTATCAGAACTTTGCTCAAAATATGAAATTGAGTGCCCACATCCAAAAACTACAGCAAGATTATTAGATAAATTGGTTGGTGAATTCATTGAAGAAAACTGTATTAATCCAACATTTATTTGTGATCATCCTCAAATTATGAGTCCTTTGGCAAAATATCATCGCAGTGAGCCGGGCTTAACCGAACGTTTTGAATTATTTATTATGAAAAAAGAAGTATGTAATGCGTATACAGAATTGAATGATCCAGCTGTACAAAGAGAACGTTTTGAACAACAGGCTAATGATAAAGCCGCTGGTGATGATGAAGCCCAATTAATAGATGAAAATTTCTGTACAGCTTTGGAGTATGGTCTACCTCCAACAGGTGGTTGGGGAATGGGAATTGATCGTCTTACTATGTTTTTAACTGATGCTAATAATATTAAAGAAGTTTTATTATTCCCTGCAATGAAACCTGATGATTTAAATAAACCTCATTCAGACGAAATTGAAAATAATGTTGACGGAGTCCACAAATAATCAATTTGACTTAAAATATGTATAAAATTTAACTTATTGTACTTTTAAGTTTTTTTTTATTACAAAGTAACAGTTTCCAGCTTATGTTACATTAATTGCAAAATATAAATTATTGTATTTAAAACTAAATATTTTTGTCAGTTATTTTGAAGCTTAGCGATTGCATATTTAATGGTTTCTCATATAAATTTTATCACATTAAAATTAATAAGTTTTCGAAACTAATGAGATACATATTTTAGTTTCTAATTTGAATCAATTGTTCTCCAAAATTATTTTTCGAAATACATACGTATATAATTGTGTAAAATTTCATATAAATACCAAATTATATGCTTTAGATAAATGAAAGTGGAAAACGACAAAATGCGCAGACTTTTAATCTATTTATAGTTTCGTTTCAACAAAGGAAACTTACAACGTTTACTTGAATTATTTTATTTATTATGATGTCATAACTAATTATGGTTGTAAGTTTTTCTATTTGCAACATTTCGAAGAAGAGTTTATTGAAAGAAACTATCTATCACAAAGATACTATGTTTTTGAAGCATCAAGAAGTAAGTAACTTTTATTTTTAAAAAAAGTATCAAGTTTATTAATTAATTTAAAAAGGAAGATGAGTTTGGTTAACAATCAAAGAATACTCTATAGTGTTTGAAAAAGTATTTTTGTACTATTAAAACACATTTTATATTCATTATATAATCAATCGTTTTTTTGAGCCGCAAACTTACTAAGAAATATTAAATATGTAATTTGGAATCAAGTTCGCTATTAACACAAGTTGCTATTAAGTTAAGTACTTTATTAAAATATATTTTTAAGAAGATTTAAATTATAATATAATAATTAGAATTTCAATTATTCATCATAAATTCTCTGAAATTTTGAAAATTGCTAAAAATCTTAAGATTTTGAAGGAATTTCTGAAGTACATGATACTCTAATTTTTAAATTGCAGTAATACTAACACGGTTCAGTTGTATACGGTTATATGTATACAATTCAGATTATGAGTTGTAATAAACGCTAAATTTTGTTGTAGTGCAATAATATGACTTTTAATCCATGGTTCCTCAAATAACATAATAATTTCAATATGCGTACATATATATGTAAATATAAGAAATACAGTAGCTACGCTATAGAAATTTTGAATAGAATTGTAAATTAAATGTAAAATTATGGTCGATATAAACTTATTAATTTTAATTAAATTTATAAATTTAATTTTGATTTTCTTTATGTATATAACATCTTATAAAATTTATGCACAAAATCATGTATATTTTAAGTTCTTATGACTTTGTTTTTATGTATGTAATATGTAAATGAGTATAATTTCAATTTTAACCCATAATTTTACTTTCTTTAATTTTGTGCTTGCTTTAATTTTGCTAACTATTTATAGAATACAATAAATTTTATTTTTAAATCCTGTACAAATAAAATAAATACGATATGTAAAATCCGGTATTACTACACATCGTTATTACCGTTATCTGTCAAAACAATCTGAATGACATTTTTATTTCATAAAAGTACGATTATAATTATATCAGATTTTTTCAAGATTTCTAGATTTAAATATATAAAATGTATAAAAAATAAGTTTGATTAAACTGAAGTTAAGCAATATGTATGCATGTATGTTTTCAGAAGAGTTTAATTAAATTAAATTTTATTTTTGTCAACTTAATCTAAATCATGAAATTCCTAAACCAAAGTAAATCCTTCTTATCATATCTTATAAAATTTGTATATTAATAATTTGCAAAAAATCCTTAAAGAATTTCAACCATTTTTATGATATGATAACAGAAATTAAAGAAAATAAACAATTTGGACGAGTGCCTCTCACCTTTTTTATTAATTAATATTTTAGTCAAATTTAATATCGAAGAAGTTGTTTCGTTTCCAAAATACAAAGATTACCTAAAAAGTTTTAAACATTTTTTGAAATAATTTTTAAAAGCAACTAAATGAAATTCTGATATTAATATGTTAATTTAATGAAATTGAAATTAATTGAATTTTAAATTTTCTGCAAAAATTCTTTTGTGTACTTGTAATGTTACGTAACTTCAAAATTATTTTCCGATTTCGACATTATTTTAGGAATTACAACTAAAATGGCTCACATTTTGATTATTTTTTATATTATTTTTATGTAAAAATTTTATTTTTCCAATTAAAAAATTTCTTTCAAATTTTTATTAAAATTACAAAATTTTCACTCTAATAAACGAAATTTAATTATGAATAAGCATATACTTTTAATTTTTCAAAAAAGTAGAAATAAATTATTAAATATATGTGAGTTTATAAGTACTATTTTTCTACATTCATATGAATTATGAATTTTATATTCTTCGAGTAAGATTTTACATTAATTAAAAGAAAACTTTTAATTTTATGTAAAGGTAATTCTAAAATTTACAATAAAAACAAATGATTGAACCGGTTCATTGAACCATTAAACATTGAGTTAAACAAGTTTAATGATTGATCTTTTTCCTAACTTTTGAACCAACCTACTTGGGTTAAAATTAAATTTTGTATGACATTCTCATTTCTCATAATAATGTCTTTAATATAAGTGTAGATAAACATTATATTCGATCATTAAATATGCATAATACTACAAAGATTTTTTATGGAGAAAATGAATTAGATGTAAAGCAAAATAAGCTTTTGAGTGATGGTAAGCCTACGAGGTGAGTACTTAAATTGTTATCATATTTATTTACTCAAATTTCATTCATGATGACAAAGAACTCATTTTTGAGATAATACATATAGACAAAATTACAAAAAAATATGTTCAGTGGCGTAACTTTAATTTTTGATAATTATTTATTTAATTTTAGGTATATAAAATTAAAAGGACATTTAAGTCTTGGTAAAAAAATTTTAAATTTTCAGACCGGAAAATATTTATTCTCTTCTTTAATTAACTTTATCTTTCATATTTCTTGGTAATTTGATGCCTACTTTTTGAATTCGGCTAACAAATATCAAAAAAGTTTTTGTTGTCATGCTTTCCATTAATTTTATTTTCTTTAGGGTTCTTATTTAAACTTTCTATTTATCGTTATTTAATTTTGTAAATATGTACAGAGTATGTCAGTATTAGCAGACATATGAAATCTGAATAATACGTAAAGAGAAAAACAATTACTTTTATCAGTAAGCATTAAGTATTTGATGAATAAAAAAATATAAAATAATTCCTGTACGCAAGTAGTACATAAGTAGTAGTGTTACTATAATATAATATTGCATAACATTCATATAATATATTATTGTTTAAAAATTAAAAAAAAATAATTGAAATTAAAATACTCGACTCACAGTTGATTAAAATTCTAAAGTTTGGTTATATTTTGGCTCTTTAATATTCATGTTAATAAAAAAGAATATAAACCAATTTGATAATATTGAAACTAAGCCACATCAATTCTCTGTCAATACTGTTATCAATGGTCTTTCCTAATTCTCAATTACCAAAGATCTTAAAAAATAAAGGGGGTTAAGTATATATTTAATTTTTTTCGAGAAAGACGAATTTTAAATTTTGATTTATGTAAGCTTGATTTACATATTAAAGATTTTATTATTCCCACAAAATAAATAAGTAATGATGAGTACATATATGATAAATTTATATCACTTAACAATTTTTGAACCTGACTTGCACAAATTGTGGGTACAATTTGTTTTATACAACTTTTTCAATTTGATTTCAATTTTCATAATTATAGCATTGATACATCACTGAATAAATCTTATAATATTTGATAAAATACTCTCTTTGTCTTCTTTCTTTAAGTCTCTTGCTTAAATATTTAAAAATTATCAAACGTATCGACCACTCAATTGAAGAGGTTAAGTAAAATTTTGTTGAGTTAAGTGTGTGTATTTACGGAAAAAAATTATAAATAAATGCATATGTATTATGTACATATATATATACATGTTAATTTATTATAAATTGTTTTTGTATTTTAAAATTAATACCGTTTCATATCGTGTGTAGTATTTAAAAACTCTCAAACATTTTTCATAATTGATTAGTTCACATTGAGATTTTCGGTAGTTAAGAGTAAAAATTCTTAATTTTTCCGAATTACTTTAATAATATTTTTCATGAGGAAATTTCTTCTTTTTCTTTATAAATAGAATTTTAATTATATAGAAAAATGATTTTTAAATACAATCAAATAATTTTTGCAATTATTTCTTTAATTTTATCAAATGGATTTTGTGAAATTATTGAAAAAACATCCGAATCACCAGTACCAGTTGTAATATGGCATGGAATGGGTAAATTTAATAGATAAAAATTATATTATAAAATTGTATAATATTGCATAAAAAGTGAATTTTCCATTCAAAATTGAAATACATGCAGATAATTATTATGAGCACACTCATATTTATTTAATTTTTAATTTTGCACTTTCATAACATACATATTCACAATTAAATAACATTAAATATATTACACAAATGTTTGTCATTTAAATAAGAAAGAATTGCAAGGTTTAACAATAAATTAAATATAATTTTCACTCTTATATAGTTTGTTAATGAGAAATAATAAAATTTAAGCGCCAATTTCTTCGAATGAGATTTACGATGATGTAAATATAAATAATAAATTTATAAACAATATTTACATATGCATACAGAGTACGTTTTTGATTACTTTCAGCTATGATAACAATTTTTATCAATACGAGTACTGTATTTTTTGTAAGCATCCATAGAAAAAAGTTTCGTTTTCATTGACCAGTATATAAAGCAGCAATTAAAATTGAAAATTATATAGTAAAGTTTTTAAGAAATAATTTCCTTTAAACTTTTCAAAATTATAAAAAAAGTGAATTAATTGCATTTTTTTTGTGTGTTTTGTTTTTTAGGTGATACTTGTTGTAATCCACTTAGTATGGGTAGAATAAAGCAATTAATTGAAAACAATATTCCAGGAGTATACGTCAAATCATTAGAAATTGGTGGAAATATTGTAAATGATTTGCGAAGCGGTTTTTTTATTCATCCTGATAAACAAGTACGTATGTATAATAAAAGTTCGAAATCTAATTTTTGCTGGACATAATATACAATCAGTTCTTAAGCGAAAGTACTATATAAACTTTTATATTTTATAATATATAATTTTGTGTGTCCTTTAGTTAGCTGATGTTTGTGAACAACTGAATGCTGATGAAAATTTGCAAAATGGTTTTCATGCTATAGGATTTTCTCAAGGAGCACAATTTCTGTATGCTTATTATTTATATTTATTTTATAAATTTTGTAAAAGTTTTAAAAAATAATATTCTTATATTATAATATTGAATATAATTATAGACGAGGAATTGCACAAAAATGTATTGGCCCACAAATGAAAACATTAATATCAGTCGGAGGTCAACATCAAGGTGTCTATGGTTTACCAAATTGCCCATCTTTAAGTTCAAAAACATGTGATGTACGTTACGTTAAAATAAAAATATTCAATTTAATATATCTTATATAATTAAATCACGTCATGTAAAATTTTTCATCATTAGCAAAATTTCAAAAGTGTTTTTCTTGATTTTTTAGACTATTCGAAAATTATTGAGCAAAACGGCTTATGCAAAGTAAGAAAAATTATTATATGAATTACAAGTATAAAAGTATACAAGTATAAAGTTATAAAATTATAAACATAAAACTAAAAATTTCAATTAATTTTAATAGATGGGTACAAAAATTATTAGTTCAAGCAACATATTGGCATGATCCATTAAAAGAAGATGAATATAAAGCCGGAAGTACATTTATTGGTGAAATAAATAATGAAAATTTATTAAATTCAACGTATGCATTAAATTTACAACGATTAGAGAAGTAATTCATTAAAAATAAATTTTAAATTTAAAAAAAAAAAGAAATTAATTTTGAAATTTTAGATTTGTCTTAGTTAAATTTATGAATGATTCTATGGTTGAACCAAAAGAATCATCATGGTTTGAATTTTATACACCGGGACAATCACAACATATTCAACCACTTAAAGAAAGTCCTCTCTATAAAGAAGTAATTCTAATATTTAATTTAATATACATATATATTCTTTAGTGAAATTTTATAATATTTGTAAATAATTGGTTTTATATTTATATGTTGGTATTAATCGTATATTGTATTTTGATTTTTGCTAATTTTTTTAATATTTCAAAGGATCGATTGGGTTTGAAACGAATGGATGAAGAAGGCAAATTAGTTTTCTTGGAAGTTGAAGGTGATCATTTAAGATTCAAAGACACATGGTTTGTTGAAAATATCATCCCATATTGGAAAAAAGATTGAACAAATTTCATAAAGATTTTTAATATAGGTTATGAGAATTTGTTAACTTGATACCTAAAGAATTTTAAATAAACTTTTTTATGTATATTATGAGGTAAATGTTTTTAATTATCATTTTATATAAATTATTTTAAAATTTAAGAAAAATATGACCATTTATATTAGTTTTTATTCTTAAGTGTTTTTGATATAAAATATATATATATATATATATTGATATATATATATATATCAATATATATATATACATATATATATATATATAATATATATATATATACAATATATAACAAATAACTACAATTCTGATTTAATTTATAGTATTACATTAGTTTACAACTCTTTCTAAAATTTTATATTTGGACATTACTGCCTTTTTATTGCACGAACCAAAATACTGGCCGCAACAATTTAATAAACCTAAAAATAAATTAGAAACCTAAGCCTAAATTTATTGAAACCTAAAAATTGTTCAGTAATAATAAAGGATAATATGATTATTATTGTTCCTGAAGCGAATAAATAATCAAAGCGAATAACTTACTGGAATATTCGCGCGTAAAACCATAGAAAAATTCACCCACATTTTCCTTTAATTCATTTTTATTGACTTATTTAGTTCTACTTATTTTGCTGTTCCCGTTTCAAAAAATTTAGGAATTTGTATAATGCAGATTATACAAACGCTACTTTGGTTTTACCATAAAAAAATATATTTATTACATGCAATACATAGATATTATTTATTAAAAAAAAGTCTTTTTAACCACATTCATTTTAAAATAATATAAGCTATCAGCTCAAAACAACAAAAAAAAAAAAAGTTTTAAAAATTACTTCTGGTCTCATACGACTTCCGTTCGTCTAGTTCTGACATTTCTCTCGAAATAATTATATTCGCTAATCATAATACCATTTAGGCGAATTCGAGCCCAGAATAACATTGGCAAACCATAATAGCCCCATAAATTTGTAAGGTAAATAAAAGAGAATGTTGTAATTTTTATTTGAATTTTTAAAATATTTATTGAAATGTATAATTTTATACATATTTGTAGAATATAACACATATATTTATATATATATTTTTATATAATATATATATATGTATATATAAATTTATTACTGAGAACAAGTATACATTTTTATTAATATTTTAATGTTTTGTTTAAATTAATTTTTGAAACAGTTGTTGTTAATATAATTTTTTTTTTTGCATTTTTATTGTTTAAGGTTGGTTTATTTTTCTTTAATTATTTTTTCTTTTTTTGAAATTTTTATTTTAACTTATACACTACTTTTTTTTGTTTTTTTAGTGTTTTTTTTTTAAACATAAAGGTAAATTAATTTTTTCAAATTTTTTTTTTTGTATATTACAATTACAAATATGCACAATATTATAATACCCTTAATATATTTGAAATATAATTTTTTTTTGTTTTAAAGATTTTCTTAATATTTTTTTTTATTGTATACCATTTAAAAATATATACAATTATTAAAAATATATTTGTAACATAAAAAATGGAAAGAAAACAAAATATCTAATTTTTGATAAAAATTAATTTGTTCTTTTTGTTTTTCTTTTTTTTTATAATTAAAATATTTTATATATAAAAAAGTTTTTTTTTTTGGTTTTTTTTTGTGATTTTTAATTATTTTGCTTTTTAATATAGTCATCTACAATTATTCAATTCACAATTTTTGTTATAATTGTAATATAATCTTAATAGTAATATATAGATATTTATACTCATGTATACATGTATATATATTATTTATTTTTTTTTTATTTTTTTTTTTCAATATTTATCATGCAAAACACAGAAACCATTGTAAAAAATCGCCAAAAATTAGATTTATTTGTAATGTTCTTTTTTAATTATTTTTAATAAATATATAAATATAAATAATAATTATGTTATATATATATGTACATGTATATGTAAATGATTATATTTTTATTTATATATATGATTATTATAGATAAATATATATATATCATCGGTAATATATATATATATATATATATATATATATATATATATATATATACATATGTATACATATTTTGTTTGATATAATTTTAATAAAATAAAAAATAAATATTTCATATTATTTGTGTATGCGTATACATAAATGTGTATATAATATTAATTTATGTAATTATACGTACATTGCATATAAGTATTTTACATAATTAAATATTAATATAAACTACTATACAAAGTTCGATAAACTGAATTAATATTGTAAATTTTTTAAATAAAAATATTAATTATGCTCCTATAAAAATTAAAATTTAAAGAAAAAGTGAATTTTGTTTTTATATATACATATATATACTGATATTTTACCGATTTATATACGTATAATATATATATATATATATATATATATATTGTATATTATACAATTTAATTTGATTTTTATATAAATTTAAAATTACATATTACTACTACTTTGAAAAAAGATTGAGTTTTTATTTTTGTAATTGTGTATAGGTATATATTAAATGAGTTTAATAATTTTTCAATATATATATAAATATGTATCTACATATCCCATGTAAATAATTCATTGTTAAATATCTTTATATATTTACATATATATATATTTTTTTTGTGATTTTGTATTTTTAAAAATTTTAAATTGTTTGTTTTAAAATTTGATTTTTTTTTTTGGTTGCTTTCATTTTCGTAGTTTATATTTTAATATTAGTTAAAGCAAAAGTTTTATTTAATATTATTGAATTTATTATTTTAATTTTTTTTTCCTTTTAGTTTAGTTTTTTCATTTTTTTGTTTGGTATAATAAAGTAAATAGTTGATTTGTTTTTAAGTTTTTTTATTAGAACTTTTTTTGTATTTTTTTTTCATTTATTTAATTTTTAATATAATATTTTTTTTAATCCATAAAATACATTTATGCGTATTTTGTAATTAATACTGTTTTACGCCTTGTTATATATAATTATTTTAGAAATCTAACTTTTATATCATTTATATATATGTACATAAATATACAATAATATGTTAATTTTGTTTTTTGCCTATAATATACATATGTATGTATGTATGTATGTAGGGAATTATTATTGTAATAGTATATTTATTATATAATTGTGTTATATTTCGTTATATTAATATGTTATACATTTATATTGAATATGTGAATATACAAAAAATGTTTTACAGTTATTGCTTAAGGGTTTCCTGTGCTTGGATAGAATTTAATTATTTTTTTTTAATTCTTTGTTTTTATTTGTTTTTCTTTTTTTTTACATTAATATTAAATTATGTAAAATATTTTATACATGTGTATATAATAAATATTTATATATAATATATATAAATGGAATTTTTCTTAATATTCTATAAAAAAAAAAATAAATAAATTAAAGATATTAATTAACTTTTTTTTATTTTGAGTAAAAATAATTTTTTTTAAAGCATTAAATTTTTTGTGTTTTTTTTTGTTTTTTTTTTAATATTATTTTTTATTCATCTTGAAAAAACATTTACATTAAAAGATTAAATCTCTTAACAAAGCAAAAAGGAATAGAAAAATATCAAGTGAACATATGTAAATACGCTACTGCTCAAAAGATGGCGTATGTAACTATAAACAGACGTAAATAGAGAAAAAATATGTAACGAAAAATATTGTCATTTTAAGAAAAGGAGTTTTCTCAAAATATTTTTTTGAAAATTAAAATTTTATTGAATACTTAAAATTTGTAACTGAATTGAAATTAATTTAGAATTTGAATAAATGAACTCAATAAATTGGTTGTCGTTGTATTCTATATGTTTCTGTATTTTATATGTTTGTAGTTATTTTGTGAGGTTAAAAAATGAATATATTTTTAATCAAATAACTACTACAAGTATAGCACAAGCAAGTCATGACGTATAAAAATGAAGAGAATATGATTTAGTTTTAAAAATAAAAATAAAAATTAAAATTGAAAAAAAAAAGTCAAAAATTGAATTAACCGATAGCATGTAAATGTCATTTGAATATTGTATGTGTATGCTATTTTTTGTTTTTCAATTTATTAATTGTTCCATAATAAAATTTTTTAAAAATTTTAATTCATTAATTTTAATATAATCATATTGTATTTTTCAATTTTATTCTGGAATTGAAAATTGGAAATTTGTTTTTATAAATCAGTTTGGTTTTATATAGTTTAATTTTTTTTTCTTTTTCTTCTTCTTCTTGTTAAATTCGTTACAACATGGACTAAGACACAATAATTAAATAATATTATTATTATATATAATTATGAATGTATATATATGTAAAATGAATACACATATTTATATATATATATATATATATATATATATTTATGTATATATATATATTTATATATATGTATATACAAAACATATATATGCTTTTAAAATCAATATATATATTTTTTTTTAATTTTCTTTTTAATTTAATATAAGTATTGTATGTATAGTAAAATTGTTGAATAAATATTTTTGATATTATTGTTTTTGTATTTTAAATGTATACAATAATAGTATATATATATATATATATATATATATATATATAAATATATATATATATATATATATGTACATATTTTTTTGTTTATTTTTTTTTGTATAAATATATTTTAAAATTGTTATTTTATTAAGGAAACTATTAATATTTTGTGTATAGGTTTTCGGTATATGTATGTTTTTTTTTTCTTAAAAAGTTTTCTTTTTATTGACTCTGTTACAATATTCTACAAAACAAAATTCGAAAATTTCGTATGTAAATTATGTATTTAAACATAATTAGCGAAACTTAAATATAATTTTTAAAAGTAAACAACTCAACATAAATATCGAAGAAAATCTTGGCGTGCAAACGCAAAATATTTATAACAATATTATTTTTTATAAATTAATATTTATAAAAATATATAGAATATTGGCAAGAAGTGTTATACACGAAAACAAAAATAATGAACAATTTAATTATATTGTATAATATAAGTTATAGAAATTATTATATGTACTTAAAATATAATTATTTAAAAAAAATAATCTTTATATTTAATCATAAA